ACCACCTCTGTCCCGACTACCACCTCTGTCCCGACTACCACCTCTGTCCCAACCACTATGTCCACCACTGTACCGACCACTGTACCGACCACTGTACCGACCACTGTACCGACCACTGTACCGACCACTGTACCGACCACTGTACCGACCACTGTACCGACCACTGTACCAACCACAGTCCCAACTACCACCACAGCCTCAACCACTGTACCGACCACTGTACCGACTACTGTACCGACCACTACGTCGACCACTACGTCGACCACTACATCGACCACTACATCGACCACTGCATCGACCACTGCATCGACCACTGCATCGACCACTGCATCGACCACTGCATCGACCACTGTATCAACTGCTGTATCGACTACTACCGTCCTAACCACCCCTACACTATCGACCACTACTACTAGACCGACCACTATAAGTACAGTTACTACTAGTGTCACCACTAAGCCTACAACGCCGGCTTCTGTTAAGACCACAAAGACGACGAAAGAGAGCACGACACGGACAATAACGCAGTCAACGGCCACATATACTTCGCCAGTGCCCTTGAAGTCGAGCACACTTGAGACCAAGACCAGGTCTAAACCTGTTGTTCATCATGAGACAAGCCAGACTACTCCAACGGCAACGTGGACTCACCCACATGGAAAGCCCACCACCACCACCACAACTACTGCTACAACCCCAACCAAGCAGCCTGGGTGGGGAGACTGGCAGAAATCCAAGGCAACAGCCACAATCACAGCCACCACTACGGCTACGACCCCAACCAAGCAGCCTGAACGTCCACATGGATGGGGAGACTGGCAGAAATCTAAGGCAACAGCTACAACCACCGCCACCACTACAGCCTCGACTAGTCATCATAAAAAACCATGGTGGTGGCATAAAGAGAACCACAAACCTACATCCACCACTAGCACTATGACCACGACCACGACCACAACTGCGACCAGCGAGACTGGGCAGGCTTGGCATGGACGAAAAGGCGGCTGGAAAGATTGGGAAAAGAAGCACCCCGGTGTTTCATGGGCAGATTGGCAGAAGGCGAAACATGGAGGCAGTGACAAAAGTAGGACTTCGGGTTGGAAGGATTGGGCGGAATAGGAGCAGAAAGTTGAAGGGGAATATCCAATTGGGAGTTTGGGAGTTCTCACAGGACATAGATTTACATTAGGTTAGCTATTGATTTCCAGTACGAGGCCAACAAGGCCGAGGCCGGAATTATCATTTCTGGCTATTCAGGCAGGCAAAACGTACAGTACAAAACAAGTTATTTAAAAACGAAATCAAGTCACTTTTCTACGAAACCAAATATTGTGAAATAAAATCCAGCCAAAAAACAAAGTACTAGCAGTATTCACAGTGCCAAACAAAACATCAAACCAGTCAAGCTCATCCTCAATCCTGTCAAAGGTCGAAATGTTCCATGGTCTCTATCAAAGGGGTATGGAGGGAGACCAGACTATACAAGTGCGAGGTGTGCCCTATACCGGCCTTCTGGTTAAAGGTCAAGGCTGGGAATGCCTCAAGTTAGTGCCTTAGGCCTAAGTTTGACAAAATCCAGCCAAAAATAAAGCACTGGCAGTATTCAGTGCCGAACAAAACATCAAATCAATCAGGCTCATCCTCAATCCACGGCCAAGCCCACCCCAATCAATCAATCAATCCATCAATCCATCAATCCATCCATCAATCCCCGACAAGATCTGGATATGGTATCTCAGTCGCCATTCTCGACCTGGAAGCCCTTTACCCTTTACCCTTCTAGGCTCTCAGGCCGCGTCGGTGATGGTGAGAAAACCCAAAAAAAAATCCAGAGCCAGAGCCAGAGCCAGAGCCAGATTAGTACTACAGTATGACGGTAGGTCTATGCTCACCCCCTTCTTGGCGGGAGCTCATTCTCTGCCAGTGTGTCCTTGATGCTATGCTAGCTATCCAATCTATCAATTCATTTTTCGCGTCTCGTCTCGTCTTGTCACGCAGCGTGCCGCCCCGAGACACCTAGCCTGGAAGTGGAAGCGAATGTGGCGCTGTAGCGATACGAGACCTTTTATCATGCCTGCAAAGCTGTTGCCCTCGTCAACTAGTAAAAAAACCCAATGTCTGGTTATACACGCTCGCTCGGGAGGAGAATTGAAGGAAAATGCTGCACAGTGCACGCCGATGATGACCCTGCTCCCTTTTCGTCATCCCTGTATTCTGGTATTTTCTAGGCCATGCCATGCCGGTTAGGCCCATCATGCAATGTAGTCCCGTGCAGCAAATCTCCCTCTCCCTCGTCCGAATCGTCCACGGCCACCTGCTCCTCCTGCTCCTCCTCGGCCTCCACGCCCGGCGCCAGTGGTGCCACCCGTGTTGCCGGTGCCCTTGCCCGTGTTTCCAGTGGTGCCTGTGGTGGTGGCTCCAGTGGCGGCGGTGGTGGTGGCGGCGGTTCCAGCGCCAGCAGCAGTGGAGGAAGCGGCAGCAACGTCCGAAGCACTAGCACTCCCACTGGCAGCAGCACCTGTACCGGTACCAGCGTTACCTCCACCGTTGCCAGTACCTTGGCCGACAGTAAACTTCTGGCAATCATCTTGTGCACCTCGTTGAGCAACCTGCCAGTTCGTTAGCGTCGAAGTTGGGTGGCATTTCTTTCAGTCTACACTTACCGGCATCAGCACCGGTTGGTGATTGGAAGCACTGTTCATTGTGCAAACACGGTAAACACCCGCCGGAAGTCCAGCGGTAACAGTGGCCTGGAGAAGACCTTGGCCATTGCCGTCATCGTTGATGCCCTTGAAGAAGGCAAAAGTCTTGGGGTCAGGAGGAGTTTTGGTGGCAAGGTCCCCGCCGAGATCTTGGACTGTGACGTGGCAATGGCCGACGACGTTACCGCCTGATAGTGCTTGAGGAGCAGCATAGTATGTTGTGATGGGATCGGTGAACGATCCGGCGACCAAGTTGGTGATTTGAACTTGAATGTTGAAGGATTGGTTCGGGGTCAGATCGTCTCCAGGTCCGGGGAAAAGAATGATGGACGAAACCATGTTGCTATTGGATGGAATGTCGCCCATAACGATACCGTTGCAGGATCCTCCAGTGACTTGAGCACCATTCGTTAACGTTTTGCCAGTGCAGAAGTTGATGAAGTTGGCCGGGTCACTATAGCTGTCAGCAGAGGAAACAAACATTTGGCCAGGTCGGATCACGTACGTATCTGAAGGTGCCTGACCAGCGTCGCCAGCACCGCCAGGAGAGTTGCTGGCATTTTGCACATTGGCGGCGAGTAGCAGAAGATCGTTGTTTCCTCCATTGCCACCGCCAGTGTTGCCAGTGTTGCCTGTATTTCCGCCAGTGTTGCTAGTTGCTGTACTGTTCGAGCCGACGGCGGCGGCGGCGGTAGTTGCGGCGGCAGCTGCTGCCCCTGCGGTTGTACCAGCACCGCCCTTGTTCTTATTGTTTCCACCGGCTCGATTGCCACCTCGTTGGGCAACGGTCGATGATGCGAATCCCAAGACAGCAACGGCTGCTGTCAAGATCTGAGAGGTCTTCATTGCTGTGGGCTTGGGAAGATGTGTGATTCTGGGTTGAAGGGGTGGATTGGAGATGTGCGGATGCAAACAAGGTCTTCTTTGGACAACGAACGAGAGACTTCGCGGTCAACGCGGTCAAAACTGTGCAACAAAGGAGCGGAAAGGAAAATATGCAAAGATGAGTCGAATACACCCTGAATGTGAAAGGAATGGAGAGGCACTGCCACGATGAGACAGAATCCAAGAAACAAGACGGAAGAAAACGACCTCTTATGCTTCGAACTTGGCAACGTTCGAGCCCATGATGGGGACCAGAGGCGTGGTCGGTCCATGGTGATTTCCTTGAGGCTGGAAACGTTTCCAAAGAACCATGATGACACAGACGACCTCCAGGTGCTTCAGGTCAAAGAAGGCAAAGAACAGGGACCGAAGGTTACAGGTTGGTCGCAGCATGGCGTGGCAGGGCCGACGGCCAGGCAAACAAGCCTTGCCAATGTTTGACAAGCGTCTGTAGCTCACCAAAAGCCGAGACACTCAACACAGGACAGAGACGCAGATGAAGCTGGCATGGTTTCGAGACGTGTCGGAGACGAGGGAGAAACCACGCGTTTGAAACGGGCGGCTGTAGCGAAGGCGGCCTAGACGTTACAACAAAGTCTGCAGACTAGCCATATACAGACTAAGCTGGTGGTTAAGTTGTCGTTGGCGCCACGTAGTGGGTTGCTAGTGCACCTCCCTCCGCGCCCCTCGTCCTGCTCCTGTCGACGTCACATGGCTTGCTCTCGGATCCTTCGCAGCCTGTCCACCTCCTGCAATGTCCTGCGATACCTCACCACTAGGCGTCACCCACTTTGCCCTCTCTGTGCGACGCCATCATCTGTCATCCCCAGCTCCACCGGGCCTAAGACCCCAAGAGCCTCTCATTGCTCCTTCCCCAGGAACATCTTCCGCTTCACGATCGATTGAAGTGCTACTGAAAATAAACCCTAGGCACCTACTAGGTACCCCGTTGACGCCTCCCCTTGTCGACGAGCTGGATGCGAGCCCCCTTCCCCTTGCACCGCAGTGCAACATATCTGTCTTGGCCCCTGACAAGCTTTTGGCTAAGCTTTGCCTGTGCCGATTCCCGAGCGATTTCTTTCCGGATTCAAGATGAGGCAGAGCATGTTCGGAAGCTTGGCTTGGACGATTAGTAGGCAGTAAAACATCGACGTGACTGTCGTATATTGTTTGCTCAGGGCGCTCTGCTACCTGACCATGTACTCTTCGCCTACAACCTACAGAGTGGTCCTGGACTGAACGGACATCTCCCCCATACGTTCAAGGAAAGAAGTGAGCAGTAAGCAAAACGGGCCAGTTTGGAAAATCCTTCATCTGCTCCTGTTCGTCAGACTGTTATTCCATCATTCATGTTGTCTCGTGCCAAACTCCACCTACGGACCGATCCAACTCCGGGCGCATAGCTTTGCATGCTGTGAAACCCCTCGAAGCCTTCACGGTTGCCTCCCTAGAACCCAACCAGTCTGCCTTCGCTCATCGTATTGGCCCTGCCCGACAGGATCACATTCGTGACAGTGCTTTGTCCATCCGCGTCTGTCTTGACGTCCACTTCGACAGCAATGGTACAGACACGACCCATTTCAGCCCCCTGCTGAATGCCAAATACTTTCCTTTCCGTCTTTGCTTCGAGCTTGAGGTCTGCGGCCTTCGTCGCAAGTTCCGTATCTTGGTCGGATGCCTTTGGCTCGACGGAACCCGACGCCTCACGCAATGCCAGATAGCACGACAGTGCAGAGCAGGCGCTTCCAGTGCCAGGGTCTTCGATCCCGTGAGATATCATCCGAGCTTGGATGTTGTGGATGGTGGGCTCCCCGGGTTGTTCAGACCTGGCCGTGAGCTTGTAGTACATGCATCCAACAAAGCTGGGGGACCACTCCTCATCAAACTCCACCTCAGGAGACTTGCCACCTTGGAGGGCTGCAAAGAGCTCTGGGTTGTCTGTCAGATCGACTAGCACGAAGCTCATGCCTTTGACGATCGAAACGAGAGGAAACGTCTTGCCCTTTTCCTTGTCGATGGTCGGCACTATTTGAACATGCGGCTGTGTGGCGATGATCTTTTCGATCGGTACTTGATACGAGTGGACGTGGAACTTGAAAGGTACAGCGCACGCCGCGACTTGGCGATAAGGGTTGAAGAAAATTGGTATACGTCCGGCCTTGGTCAGCAGGACGGCCGATTGTCGCTGGGTGTCTCTGTCGGCCGGCCCCCCGTATTGGAGTTTCTCGAGGTGGTGGAAGATCTGGAAGATTGTTAAATTGCTATTCCCGGAATCCATTGAGGTGCCTCACAAAATGCGCTGCTCCGATAACCTGCCTTGGATCAGTTCTGTTCTGGCCCCCAGCAACACAAGATCAGGTACTCACGGGATGTCCAGCAAAGGGCAATTCCTCCCCCGTCTCGGTGAAGATCTCGAGTGTTCGAGGTTGCCCTGGCTCTGGGGCATCGTGTAAAAAGCAAGTCTCCGAGTACTTGAACTCTTTGGCAATGAGGGACTTGCGCGCGGTAGAGAGTGAGTTGCCATGGACGGAGACCAGTGCCAACGGGTTGCCTTGGAACTTCTCCGCGGTAAAGACCTGTCCTTCTCAGTCTTCTGCTCCCTGGACCAGCACCCGAAGGGCAGCAGTGGCAGTGGCAGAACTTACCCCCATGGTCACGAAGGTGTTCGGGCCGGATGCCATTGTGTGAGATGTCGAGGCGGCGGGGTGTAGGGAAAGGTGTACGGCGTACGGAGGGGTCAGTGGGCTATTTTCAATCGCGGATGTCGAGTCGAAACGGCCACGCCGGAGGCATACAATGTACAGAGCACCTACAGAGTAGTCTGAGTGCGGCCACAAGACAGACGCCTAACAGATGCCCGCTTCCTAATTACTAATCTGGAGTATAGCAAACCCCAGGTCAGGTCATGGTCCGGCTGAGTCCCTCACACTGGCACCACCAGGCGTTAGTTGGTTCTTGGCGACCCTCGACGTACTGTACTAGAACAGCCATGCAGCTACTGCGTACAGATTACATACGCACTCACCAATCAACCCTTTCCTCCAGCGCGCATATGACAGATCCAAGGGCAAGGGCAGAGAGATGCGAGATCCGTATTCTGTAATCCGTACAATGACTCTGTTCGTGTTCAACAATGTACATGGCTTTCTTGAATAGAGTATCCGTACACCGTGCGCAAGGGCAACTTCATTTCCTGCGCTTCATGACTTTTACACACATTTCTTCCAGGCCGTCTTTGGCCTCGCCGTTCGGAAAGAAACTGATGGACGAAATCGCCTTGTCGGCATATTCTTGAGCTAGAGCTCGAGTCTCCTCCAACCCATCACTTTGGGCAACAATATCTCGTGCCTATCGACCAGTTAGTAAAAGCGCCCCATGTATATCCATCTAGATAGACGTGGTTCTTACCCTTTGAACATCGCCTTCTTCCGAGAACTTCCTGCCGACCAATTCGCCCAGTTCAGGATGACTCCTCCACGCAAAAATCAAGGGAGCTGTCGCGAGGCCCAACTCCAGATCCGCACCCGCCGGCTTGCCGAGCTCGGTACCGCTAATCGTATAATCCAGCATGTCGTCCACAAGTTGAAACGCCAGACCCAGGTTTTTGCCGTATGAGTAGGCCGCCTCAACCACAGAAGGTGCACACTGGCCCAATAAAGCTGCGGCTCGACAACTCTTGCTGATCAAGCTCGCCGATTTTAGATATGTTTTTTGGAGGTAGTATGTAATGGTCTGCTCGCTCCAGGCCGGATACTTTTCGTCCGACGCAGTATTCTTCAATTGCATAAACTCGCCCTCCACCAAATTTGCAATCACAGTCGCCAACAACTCGACCACTTCGGGGTCGCGTAGACGGGCGAGCGCAACCGAGGCTCGTCCTAGCATGAAATCCCCGGCCAGGACGGCCATCTTGTTGCCAAATTCGGTGTTTGCGGAAGGCGCGGAACGGCGTGTCGTCGAGTGGTCGATCACGTCGTCATGAAGGAGAGATGCGGTGTGAATGAGCTCGGTGATTTCGGCCAGCCGTCTTTGCGTCGGCAAGATCGTAGCGTCGTCTGGGAATGCATATCGAGCTTCGTTGGAGGGCTCTGCTAACGGAGACGGAGAAGCAGTCTGGTCGGGGTTGTTATCGTAGAGCACGGTCGGGGATGATATAGGCGTGTCAATGTCTCTTCTCGACAAGCTTTCCGGATTGTGGCGAGGTTGTTTTGCCGCAAACGCTGTCGCTCTCGACATGAGCAGTACCAGTAAAGGCCTGACATGTTTCCCCTCACTCTGTGTGTAGTACTTGGCCACGGTATCGAGGATAGGATGCCCCGAACCTAATAGCTGTCTTATATTTTTATTGAGGAACTTCAACTCTTCTGCCACGATCTTCAGAGGATCGATGGTAATGTTACCACTGGTCGGCCGGACGGGCAATACGTCGGCCACCGTGTTCTGGATTTTCGAAACCGCGGCAGCCCATGCTGAAGCATGTATCCGGGTGCTAGAGAAATGCCGTCGGGATGGACGAGCTCGAGGATATAGCAGTCTGGTCGAGCACCAAGGGCAGATGGCTGGAGCCGCAGATGTTGGAACAGGTGCTTGCAAAATTGCAGAGTTCGGCGGGACGCGCACGCGCATGGTCAGAATCTGGTTGAGAAGGCGGGGAGAAAGAATTAAATAGCCATAAAGAGAACAAATATTGACACAAGTCAGAAAGAATCTATAGAATGAGCATTGGCGGGAGTTGAAGCTTGGAAGCACAGCGAGCTGCCAAAAACTGCGTAGGAGGGAAGCAAGTGAGCTGCAGGCCGGTCGACTTTTCGATCGCAGCGGATCTCCACTGCAACCTTTCTGGCTTGGGGTCAGGCACCGCCGCACCATCTGCTTAGGATGCCATCTAGAGGGCTAAAGCGCGAATAGAGATGCTTCAAATAACCTAGCGACTCGGTTCTAGAACGAAACCGTCTACTCTATACTCCGTACTCGTACAGTGTACATATGTACCTTGTTTGCGATTGCCCAATGATCGCCGGAGGGTCTGAGTCTCTCGTCCCCAGATACGAGTACGTCCCTCGCCTCCGAATTGTCGCTCAATCCCCAAGTTGCCGCCTGTATGGGCTCATCCGATCCTGACGTACTCTAACTTGATTTCTTGATTTTAACGGAATGAGAAGCCCTTAGATGACCGGGTATGTAGGAGAATCTATAAAGATCTATGATGAAGTTGATGATCTGTGACGTCCATTGTTCTATTGCTCATTAAGTGCAGAGATCGGTGTAGAGATGGCTGCTATCTTCTGCATCGTTCCAGGAGATGGGTACGTCTCCGGCTGAAGAGACGCCTAGGCACAAGACCCATGTCCTAGCATAAGTCTGCGCCGACGCGAGTAGGGAGGTGTGACATTGACCTTGTTGCTTGTGTGGTAGAGGTAGGTCGAGAGTGTCGGTAGTATGCCACAATCAAAAATCTCAGCTCTCGCCTATCCTCGACTGCTTTCCAGGAGACATGGCCGAACCGCGCAGTTCTCGTAGGTCAGGCAGCTCGGATGACCAGGACCTGAGGAGCAGTAACCTAGCCTTGCCGATGATGTTGATGCCCCTCTTTACTCGAGCCCGTTGCCATTCTTCTCGACCCATGTGCGCCACTCCTGCCATTCCGCGTACGATGCACTTGCCTTCAGGCCTGTATACCTGACTGCACGGAAGTCTTGGACCTCATCCCAGGGCTTAGAGGGCTGTTGCACATCCGTCCTCTGAGAGCCTCTCAAAAGCCGTCTCGCCACGCCGGTTCCATAGCCCCCATCCCATCCAGCCTTTTTCATCAGGCTTTCCACCGTCTGTTCCTTGTCCCAACCTTGCTCAACTGCAACGTCAGGTAAATATGTCGCTCCGTGTCTCCGATTCCTATACGTGAAACTGATTTTGAGACCGTGGAGTCCTAAAGTCCAGTCCATGGCATCGTTACAAGGCTCAAAATCTGCAAGCAGGGTCAGAGAGCATGAAAGCGCCGGTAACAATGAAGCCGGTATCGGTGAGAACCGCGTGTCATCAAGGGCAGAAGTCAGTGCATATGTAGAAAGTCCTGTAGCGAGTGGATGGGCTTCAAATGTCCCTATGCAACCACGAAGAGACTTGTGACCAGCGCGAGAGACCGTATTCCAGGTAACGAACAGCGGATATGACTCGGTCGCAGAGACCTGTGCAGCATAGGTTGGCGGTACAGATGTGATGGAGGTGGCACTTGAGGGAGTGGTCAACTGGGAATTGGACGAATTCGGAGAGAAAACCGACGGAGAGGATGCTAAAGACGACCTGGAGGACGATGACCGCGCCTGCAATCGGGAAATACTGGGCAGTTGAAGTCCAGATTTACCGACGTCTCGACGTGCAATGCGGTGATTCTCCTCATGGTCGCCATCATCGCCGTCGTCTTCTTCCCCGTGTTCGTCATCTTCTTCTATTTCCGCTGTATGCGACTCCATCTCGACATCCTCTTCTTCCGTGGCTTCTGTACCCTCATCCTGCGGGGGTGCTTTGGCTTTGTATGCTTCGTACAAGTCAAGGACTTTTTGCAGTGTAGGCGGGTCTCGGCGTTCGAAACTGGCGGACAGGACTTCAAAACAGAAGAAACAGTGAGCCGGGCTTGCCATCAGTTCTGAGTCAGGCGCGAAGCCTCCGTCGAGAGCAAGGAGGCGTTGGAGCGGTGTGAAACCGTATCAGTCAGAGGCAGAGGCAGAGACGAGGTTGACGACGCGGGGGAGTGACGGAGGCTCCTAGGGAGCGTGGTTGCATAGGATTCGCTGAGCGTAGAATGAGCGTATGACCTACAGTGAGCGCGGAGTATCTAAGGATATAGGAAATAGGCAGAGAACGGGCAGAGAGCGGGCAGAGAGCGGGCAGAGAACAGGAGAAGAGATGGTACTGGCACAGGAGCTGTCAGTGCAGCGGGTGGCTGATGTGAAGCACGACGTAGTACCAACTCCAGACGCTGCATGACCGCAGGCATTGGCGACAGTGGAGCATACTAGATAAAGTGGATGGTTCGGCCAGTACTCCGTATGTATGTACTACGTAGGTACGTATACCATCAGAGATCCGTGGCCGCCCATAATCGATCGCTTCAGCTGTTGATTCAATCTCACACTACACCAATACGACGAGAACAAGTCATAACATTCCAGGTTGTCTTAAGAGACGCCAGTTGCCAGCTTCTCAGGGCTGGCTAATCTGTACTCACTTCCAGGCATCGACGTAGCCCACACTGATACCCAATCCAGTATCAATTGCGCTGCTTGTCTGAGATCTTGCGCTGCCTGCGCGGTCCCTTCCTGACTCTGAATCCCCTTCATCACTATCATTGTCTCGTGGGACAAGTCTGACTGCGCCCCCTCCTCTGGCTCGTCTCTCATTCGCTCGAATTTCCTCTTCAGCCTTTCTCTTCTCCCATTCCGCCACCAGGTTTCTGTAGTATACCTCTGCTTGCACCGTAATACTGTAATACTCGGGCGTCCAGCCAGCCTTGTTCTTACGCATGGGATCCGCGCCGGCTTGGATCAATGTCCGGACCGCCTTAAGATTTCCCCAGGCGCTTGCGTTGTGCAAGCACGTGTTTCCCTGGTCATCCTGCGCGTTCACGTCCGCTCCATGCGCGATGAGGGCTTCAATAGCACCGCTGTCTTCTGCTAATTGGGATGTAGGTTTCGAGGTCTGATTCACGAAAGAATTCAGACTGGGTGGTGGTTGCGACGATGATGCAAGGTGAAGAGGGCCCTGTCCTTTGTGGTCTCGGCGAGTCACAGTTTGAGGGAAGTGTTTGCAGAGAAGCTCGACGACTGCGGCTTGAGAGTAGGCTGCAGCAAGATGTAGGGGCGTCTGACCGTCCGTATTTACCGAGATTCCTAAGTTGTCTCCATGGTTGCTGTAAATCCAATCATGGACAGGTCGAGTACTGTCATGACCCAACGAGACCAGAAGTTCCTGAGCGCAGTTCAGCCACGGCTCGCTGGCCCACCATGAGCTGCAGACCTACTGCGATTTCTTCCAGGCCATATTGAGCAGCAAGATGTAATGAGGTGTTGCTCTTGTCAGCAAAGTCGGGGTTGTGCAGGTACCGGGGATGATGTTCTAGGAGTCGTCGGACCAAGGCCACATCGTTCAGGAGGATTGCCAGGCGCACCGACACATCAACTCTGGCCATGATTGAGCCTCGCTGATGATACAGAACATCTGCCTCTGTCGTGGCAGACCATTGGCATTGCTGAAATATGTTGCAATCAATACTATACGTACCAGTGGGAGGTGTCTCCAGACATAGGTGGTATAGAGAGGAGAAGAGGCAGCGTGTTTGGCCTGCACGGGCACAGTTACGTGGGAGAGCCTCAGGCCTTTGGGGCTCAGCCTGCCTTTACTACCCCGCCAATCGGCGTTCACACTTTGTTCCGCGCTCGGCCTGGGAACATGCTCAGGGAAACGAAGTGAAGCACATCAAAAGGACATTTCAAGCATGAACCGTGAGTCTGTACCTGGGTACTTTATTACACAAGTGTCTTAATACAAATCAGTTCCTCTTCTCGCCCAGTCGATCCCTAAGCATACACGGAGCCAAGGTGGCTAATGGGTGGTAGTATTACAGAACAGGCATCCACTGCAGGTCATGTGTTCTTCTTTCCCTTCTGTGCGTCTCGCTCAGCCTTCTTGATGGCCCTCTTCCTGATATCCACGTGCATCCTTTTGTTGATGCCCAACAAAATACTGCTCATGGGGCCCAGCACTCCAGTTATGAGGGCCGCAACAAGCGCATGGCTCCAGTAAGGACTCCCACTGTACGGATAACCAAAGCTTCCTCCTCTTCGCCCAATCTTCGCCAGTACGGAGCTGACAAAGGTTCTTTCGGACGGGACTAGCCAGTTTGTTCGGCGAATCTTGGACATTGCCGAGGTCACAAGGTATGAGTGGACGAAATAGACCTCGACTCCCGCTGGGGAGAGCTCTGACGCCAGGGCGTTTGACCACTGCTGCAAAAAGGCTTTCGAGCCAGAATAGGTTGCCAACAGTGGAGTGGGTGCGAGTCCGCCAAATGAACCCATTGTCAGAATAAGTCCTCTCTTCTGTGGCAGCATGCTTGGTAGAACAGTCTGTGTAGCGCGGAGCGTTCCCAGACAATTTATGTTGATTATATTCGAAACCTCAGCTAGAGGAGTCTCGATAAAAGGCACAGGTATGCTGTGACTTTGGCCCACGTTGTTGATCAGGATGGCAATCTGTTTCCCCTGCACAAGAGCAGCCAGAGCAGTGTAGTCGACGTCGAGGTTTTGAGAAAAATCCATTGCCAGTGTTTCCACCGAGATGTTTGGAGATGAGGTCTTTATTTGGGAGGACAAAGAGGCCAGCTTGGAGGCAGTTCGAGAGACGAGTATCAGATTGAAGCCCTTCTTCGCGAGTTGGAGGGCATATTCCTTTCCCAGACCGTCCGACGCACCGGTCACCACTGCCCACGAGCCTTTAGGACCGTACTTCGACAGCTATGAGAAGACAGAAGATTAGTGGATTTCTCAGTGAGGAGACAACGGGTCACAGCATACAGAATGTCCTGGCAAAACGAATGTGCTGAGTAGCACTCTCAACGTCGCGAAGACAACCGAGCCCACCGTTAGTGCACCGACGCCTATCAGGAATGCAGAGGCTGCACTCTGCTGACCAAGAGGTCCGAGGTCGACTGCCATAATCGCGGATTACGCGGTCACCGGGTGCAAAGCTCTTTCAATTGTGTCGTAGATGGCTGAGCAAGGAAATTGAGGAGCTGGCCAGAGGATCACCATTATTGTGACAGGGGTCCTGAGGGTCCATACTAGGTAGGCTTAGGGGCTCCAAGGCTCCGAAGGCCCGCTTTGTTCTTCACCCTTCGTAAACCAAAGGCTCATGAATATTTAATAGTCGCGTCCGCCTGAAGCTTCAAGTCACCTCAGAATCCTAGGTTTTCGGCCCTCAGATGGCTTCTGTGCTTCCACCGTCAGAGGGGTACCTGCCCCTATTCATTCTTTTCGTGAGTTCCCTAATTACGGTGTCCAAGATCACAACTTCTAACGGAGTCAGGTTGGCGTCACGGCCATTGGGAATGCCATTCAATGCTACACCACTCTTTCGTATACGCAGCGCCTCTATCCTGGTCAAGCCTCGACGGCCCCAGGCAAACCCTCGAATGTGCAATCCTCCCTGGCTACTCCTCTTTCATCCAGAACATTTGGGACGTGGACCCTGGCAGTTGGGATCGTAAGAGTCTTCGCGGCATACCACATAAACGAGGCGTCCTGGTACCAGATGCAGATGTTGACCAATGTGGTGGGCCTCGTTCACTTCGGTCTGGAGGCATTTGTATATAAGACGAGTCCACCATCTGGTCCTTGGCTGGCTCCTGTGAGCGTAGCTTCGATAGGGACACTGTGGAGTATCGCACAATACGGCTACTATGTCAAGTAGGCCCCGCGAGGTCGCATGGGTTCTGTTGGTTCTTCAGGGTACAGCTTTTTCCGACGCAGGGGGAGCATGAACAACCGCTCCTGCCTGGATCCTTTTCCTGTATAGCTCTCCGCCACAATTCTGTAACTTGAGCGTGGCCTGTTCGGGTGTGATATCTCTCTGAGGCTCTGCCATCATTTCATACCCAACCAAAAATTTTCTGACGGTGGCGCTTCTCAAAAGTGGAGGATAAAAATGGAGGTGAAGACTCGAACATTCGATTTCCTCGTCGCTACCCGCGAGCGGCGCCTGATGGATGCCCATGCTGTACGGGAAGCTGGTCTCAAATAGGTTGTCGTATCGACGTGTGACTTCAGCAATTGCCTCTGCCAGATGTCTTTGTTCTGTCTCAGTCAGATCAATTAAAGAGCGAATGTGTTTAACCGGGAGGATCATAGTCTCGAATGGCCAGGTCGCCCACCATGGACAGATGACTAGGAAGGTCTCGTTCTGGAAGACGACTCTCTCATTCTTTTCCCGTTCTAGGCGAGCATAATCGACAAGCATGTGTCCACCCCCTTGCTCGCGATGATACTTCCTCAGCTGTTCAAGTTCAAGGGCGGGTTCTTCTGGCAATGAAGTGGTGGTCCAGATTTGTCCATGAGGATGGGGATTCGAGCAACCCATAGCCGCACCTTTGTTTTCAAAGATTTGCATCCATCTATACTGTTCTTTCGGTGTGCCAACCTCGGTGTGCGGGTTACTCGGAGGGAGGTGAGTAGGCCTAGCCAGTGCCGCTAGGGGTGATTCCGGCGAGATATGTGCTGTGTAGATGTCCGTCCAGGTCCTCACAATGGCAAGGATTTCTGCAGGAGACATATCGGCCAGGGTGATGTTGTGGGCAGCGCTGAAGGTCAAGACATAGCACTTCCCCTGGACTGGTTCGGCTTTCAAGAAACGCCCCGGCAGGCTCCCTGGCGGATCGGGCGAGGTATACTCTTCTTGTGACTCTTTAACTGCACTGAAGTCGTTCACGAAAACGAATGTGTCCTTGTAATTGGGGTTGGTGTCCCCAGAAGCTCTTTTATTTCCCGGACACAGATAACAACTCGGGTCATAGACAGGGAGTTCGATGAGGCCGGGGCTCTCCTGCTGTCCTCTAGACACTGGGTCAGGAATGGTTCGGGGAGAAGCGCAGGTCTCTTACTGCCATGGTCTCTTCGTTCGATGCGGAGAGACAAGAATCCAGCTTCCGCGAAGGGGGTTGAATCTACGGTGGGAAATGTCGTCAAGGATCTTGTCCGGCATTGTGGGAGAGCTGTAAGGGCTCAAGGTGAGGCGGAAGTTCGATTGGAATGCGACGGGTCTGCACACTCGATTGCGATGTTACAGTGCCTTTATACCTACTAAATATACCTGGGAGCCGTTGCGAATGGCGGGAAACAAGCGGATGTTGAGTGGAGAAAGGCGGATCTGCCGTTCGAATGCTACGTAGGAGTAAGAGAAACCTAGACTGCTCTTCTGATTCAACATGGAAGCATCTGAGTAAGAGGCGACCTCCTAGCGACGGTGGTCAAAGCTGATGGACTTGTGTTGAGGGAGAGGACATGGTCTGTAAAGTAGACCGACACCACCGAGGGTCGAGCGATTAATCATTGACGTCAACCGGGTTGGTACAGTTTGCGCTATCGACAGTGGTGGCACACCCTCCGTTCATCGGCGTCGTGTGCACCCTTCGTTTGTTCGTCTCATCCATGATCCGGGCCCTGGATCATGCCAGACTCGCTCGCGGCGCAGCTTTCATTTCAACAGCCTTCGAGCACGCTGCTTCTGATGCAACCCCCCTGGGCCAGGTTCTGAGGACTGGTTTTCGCTGATCCGACCCAATTCCGATGGGCGCAGTTGCCCTTGTTCATCAACATGTCTCCAGACGCATTGTGTCTATATAGCCTGCCGAACGAGGTATTATCCTCCTCCTGAAATGCGGCGTGGTGATACTAACTGGGTAGATTTTGGTCTCTATCCTTTCCGGCTTCGAAACCCAGACTCTCCTTCCCTTGGCGGTGGTGTCGCGCCGCTTCCATTCGATCATCCTCCGCATCATACACTTCCGTCTTCTCCTTGCAGTGGTGTCAGACTACAAAGTCTTTCTCGAAGCATACCACCCCAGTACGAGACACAGTGACCCATCTCTGTTCTGCTCGTATCTTGGGACGGATGGACTCAGTGCTAAGCACGAGGGCGAGGGGAGCCTATACGAAGATTGCGCCAGCGAAAAAGGGCGGTTTGCCAAATTAGGGGCGCTATATAGTCGATTCAGCCCCGATAGACTGGGCATGCAAGGCTTAGGAGGCTCACTTCTTGGCTGGCGAGTGGCTACCGGAGCTCCTGACCAAGCGACACCTAATCCCACCCAGCCGAGCTACGCTGAAGGCGATGATGGAAGCATGAAGGTTCTGCACAACTTGAACCTTGACGCTGATGAGTTGTTCGTCCAGTTCTGCGCATATGCAACTCTTATCAAAGTCGGTGAACGCCGAGCAAGTTTCTTCAGCGAACCAAAACTTGTCCAGTCGGGGCAGGGGGTTATGAGGGTGTGGAAGCAATGGCTTCAAGATCGCGCCTGTGCGCTGTGGGAACAAGAGCAAGGCCAAGATCAAACACCTGAGGTCAGGTTGGATCGGCCCTCAACGACGAGCTGTCCTTCCATTGGTTCAGACAAAAACATACTCTGGACAGATTACAGGAAGAATGTTGGGCTGCGGGTAGCAGTACGCGACCGAGAGGGACTATGTTATGGGAAAGCCGCTTTCGAGCTCGATGATGTGCCCATGAGTTTTTCGCTGGAAATCCAAGGTACCATAATCGCGCATCGACAAGAGGGCCGATAGAATGGAAGTGCTGACATTTCGCAGAGCTTGTCGTGCGGACGACACATCTCATGCTTGTGGTAGAGACAGCAACGAAAGATACGCGCAAACGATCAGGTAAAGCTCTTGTTTTCGGCAGATTTGCCAGCGTCTCCTCGTCGCCGGAGATATGAGGGTGGCATCTGGCGTTATGCACGGCACTATGATTGTAGTGGCATATGTGGCATATATGACCGATGCGGGAGACTAGAGTTCCACGCTGACTCTGGGACAGGACTCTCTTACATTATTTCCTGGGTGTTACGTTCATCAGAGTAGGAGGGTTTAGAAATTCGCAGCGCGCATGTTCGGTAGAAATGTGATCATGATAGTACCGGTCTGGCCTGTTGGCAGTCCAGCAATGATATTTGGTGTCTTTTCCATCCTATATGTTACTTAGTATCACGAACTCGGGGCTGAAAGGCACTACCACTGCCGTATTTCGGTTAGCACCATTCACTTCTACACAACACGCCAGGCTATCTCTTAACGCCCCGTATAAAGGATTGTTTTGTGTAAGGTATGTATGGGCTATCACTACTTGGGTGAAACGGCTGCCGAGAACAGCGGTCATGGGCGAAGTTTGGAGCTGACCCAAGTTCATCCGCAGCCATAGAATTAATTACACGGCGGTGATTTTACTGTGCTCCTACTGTGAGCCTCGTCCAGAATGGTTTGGGCAGCCAAGTCAGATGGTCAGATTGTAGCGCCTTTTGTTAGGTACCGATGTAAGTTAATTACATAGTATATTTGGTATAAATCTACAGAGAGAGTAAGGTATAGTACTCCATAATTACTCCGCTCTCCGCTCTCAGTGTTCTGTATCCTCTATCATGTATGCTGTATCCGTACATACCTAGGTATTTACGGAATGCGCGGAATGGAGTACGGAGTACGGAATACTGATCTATCGAGAACGGAATTTAGATGCCCAAACGGCCAATCTCATATTGCTGGAAGAAAGTGTGCCTACGCCATACGGCCCAACCTACAGTAGCAGTACGGAGTCCCTGCGTACCCTGACATTAATTACTCCGTACTTAGGTACCTGGTATGTACAGTATCTGTCGACCCAGCCTGGCTAAGGCCTCTCCGGACATGGTGTGACTGTGATGGACTTCCTGCGAGTAGGAGTGTCGGGCTCTGGAGCCACTTATCCCTTAGGCTCGACCCAGCCTTGCGCCTGGGGGATGCTAAGGAGAGCTAGTGTTCAACTATTATAGAAGTGCGTATGTATGTGATTTCTAGGCAGAGAGAAGGTAGAAGGCAGAGGGTAGAAGGCAGAGGGTAGAGGGAGAAGGTAGAAGGTAGAAGGTAGAGCGCAGACGGCAGAGCGCAGAAGGTATTAGAGCGCACCAAGTACGGAGTAGAGGGAGAAGATCCTATACAACTCTGAAGAGTCTCGCGTTGCTCAGATCGTCTATGGAGCTCCAGGCTCTTCCTTCTGCCATATAATAATAAGGCCAGTCTGTCTATCTCACTTTCATTATTGTGTCCATGTTTCTTTGGCCCACGCCAGCTGCTTCGAATAGTGTAAACCCAACGTACTTGCGGTAGTCCGGCAGTGCGGCAGTCAGGAATTGTCGTAGAATAATTAGTATCTGGCATCTCCATGCTCTAGGCAAGGCATGTCGAGCTCAGTCCTGATGCTTCAACCTCCGGCTCCAGCTCCATATCCTTGATTTCTTTCTTCCCTCACACCGCAGACAACAGCTATATCGCTCGCGGTCTCCTTGCTGCGACTCCATAGTTATCAACAACGGCAGTGCTCACTCGGAACCACAGTACCCGCATGAAAGAGAACCAATATCCTGGATGAATGGACGTTTGTAAGTCTTGAATTGCTATAAGTGCCTGGAGATTTGTTCATCCCAGTGCGAGCTCATGAGTCGGGACATCTGTTTATCCGCCTCCATGGACCCTCAGCTCCTTGCATTTCGCTGATATCCTTACAACCGTCATGGGAATGTGTCAGTCTTGGTGGTATTGTCCGCTCTTCCGTTGAATCCTCACAACCGTCATGGGAATGTGTCAGTCTTGGTAGTGTTGTCCGCTCTTCTGTTGGCGAACAAGGGTTGATGCAACGAGAGGCCGATGAAAAGTGTGCCAGAAAAGACCAGCTGAATCTGTCAAGCAGCTGGCATCACTGCATCACCAACCCGCCCCCAACACACAGTAGTAGGAGTCACTAGTGGACGATCCTCCGATATGACCATCTCATTGTGGCATTTATCCAGCTGGTCTTGTTGACCGACTTCAGTCTGTTCCCAACAATCAATTTCCATCTTATCCACTTGTGCTGTCTGTATTCTTGTCGTTGATTTCCTGTTGCTCTGCATGCAACTCACTCGGGCTAGGACTGGGAGCCCTCACACTTCTCGGAGCATCGTAGATCGACCCACAATAATGCGACCGCAAGGCCTCCTCGCACGCCAGCTCTTGGTCGTATCGAGGCATGACATTGCGCATGGCATCTAGCCAGTCCCCCATCGTTTTGGGTGTTAGATGGCACATCTGAGTATACTCCCAGTACTCGGGATACCAGCCAGAGGATTCCCATCCTATCAAGGCACATACTCTCCCCGCGTCGTCAATGAGAATGTTCTTGGGACAAAAATTGGCGTGGGTAAACTTGAGCTGATATTCCTTCTTCGGGTCATGCACAAGTTGGATTTCCTTCTCGGAGAAGTCATGAGGCGGATGCCCTCTCCTGACAAAATCATGAAATGCCTTGATCGAGAAGAACGGGCCTACCCTGCCTGACCCGAATCGGTAGTCCAACGCAGCCCCCAGCGTGACATCACCAACAACACAAAGCTTGGGTGGTTGCATTTTCCTCAGTTGCTCCACAAACCGACTGAGGTCTGCCACGACCTTGTTCTTCTGATGCGCAGGCATGCCGGGCCAGACATCCTGCAGCGGTTTTCCTGTGCATCCTTCGTATTCGACCAATTTGCCCTCGGGTCTATTATAGACCGCCAAAACTTTGTACGTAGGCACCGAAGTATGGCGGTCGATCAGCCTCAAGGCTTGGTACTCGGTGTTGGCACAGTGCGTCTTGAGGAGTTTGGTACTGCTCAGACGCAGGACCGCTTCACCAGTGTTGGGGTCGGTCTCTTTCTTGCCAAAGTGCATGCGCCATCGGAGACCGAGAGGGAGGGGATCGTATTCGTCCTCGGGCTCTTTGTCGTCGCCGCCGAAACATAATGGCATGACTGCTGGACAGGTTCGGGCCCGACACAGGGCAGTCAACAACCAAAAAAGACGCCGGAGAAGGCGATGGCTGTTGCATCGAAGTCTCCGAGTGGAGATTACGCGGTTAGCCGGCACTTGACCATGGCAGAATCCCGCTGGATGTGGTGGGAGATCCTGATTCTGATCGTGATCCCTATGGCCGCGACGATTTGGACCTTTGACGAGGATCGGGAGAAAGGCAGGGAAAGGCGGTATGAGAGCGAGAGAGCGCTGAGATCGAGCTGTGATTCATGTCGGTGCAGTCTGCATCTGGAAGAAACAACTGAGGTGAGGTACCGCGGGGTGTATAGTGGGAGGAGGATGAGGACGAGGACGGAGGGGAGAGCAGGGAGGTCGTTGGAAGGGACAGTCGCTGGCACGTTAGCTTGGAGGATGATGATCAGCTAGCCAAGTGCTAGTCCTCCGTACATAAATTAGTTGGCGACTTAGTCCGCGACTTAGTTATTCCTTGGGTTAGAACAATATGAGGATTTCTTAGTCTTGGTCTGGGGGACGAAGAGATGTCGGAGTGAGTGGGATGGATGGATCCTGCGGCTGCCTCTAGGTACCTTAGGCCCAAGCCCACCATCCCACTGCTTCTACAGAGTATCCGTCCTCCGTATGTATCCAATGTTGGCGGAGAAGATCAATGTCCTCACTCCTGGCGCGGATGCTGATACTTCCTGCGCATTATGACTGACTGCTAATTACCATCTTCCTAGACACTTTGTGCAGCGAAGATGGCCGCCTTTGCTTCACGCCGAATCTCCCCGCCGCCGGTCCTCGGGCCTCGTCCAGCTTCATGCCCGCCAAGTTGTACGACAGAGGATCCCTACTCCGTACAGAGATCACCTACGGAGTACGGAGTACTTAGTACCGTACACATGCCACCGTCCTACTAGGCGACTGGCTTGCATTTGCCGCGGCCTGTTTTCCCACACTTCATCCGGGATTGGTATGTGGTGGATGATTCTGCTCATCAGAAATATAGCACTGAACTATACCCACAAAGCATATCTACAACATTCGTACTACTGGCCATCCTGCGTATGATGGATACATGAGCTGTCTCTCGGAGAAAGGGTTGTTGGTCGACGGTTTCGAGGCTGGACGCCGACCACCTTGATTGCGATAGTCACTGCTCTTACAGGTCCTTTGGCCGTTAATTGCAAAGCACCAATGCGTGACGGCTATATCGTCGTTGCTTAGTTTGACACATTGACAGATGGAAAAGAAGGTTGGAACATTGATCTGGAGTATACCCTGCGGTCAGAGTTTATCAAGCCCTAAAAGGACATGGTGGTGAACAAGTTCAGATGACCGACAGCGTCATCACCAGTTTATAACTCACTTTGGTAGCCTCAGCCATCCACAAGGGACCCAGAGTCAAAAAGAGAGGTCATCCATTCCTCACTTCTAAGGATGTGGGCAGGGCAGCCTCAGGTAGAAGAAGCCATCCACATGCGAGTTGAGCTGCTTCGTCATCATTGCCAGTTATTATGGCTGAAGTCTCTTGGATAATATCCAAACACTGCTGGTGGTAGGAGAGAATAGATCTTGGTCCTGCTATTGTTATTCAAGGTTCACCAACACCGAGACTCTGGATAGGCGACCAGAGTGACCCCAACCAGCCCCAACAAGCGGCGCCGTTTCACACCCTTGAATAGTCAGTCAGACGTCGTGCTTGTTGGTTCATAACGTACTCTGTGTATATGATGGACTCAGTAATGCTGGTACTAAGTCTGGCGGCTGCGGAAGGAGGGTGCAGCCTCATCAACAGTGGGTAAGGGTTACAACTGGGTTCTCACCGAACCAATCGTCGAGCGCAAGGCTGGTGTCACCCTGCAAAGGAAGGAGTGACGTGGTTGTAACACCTCTTCTTTATCGGCCCTTGGTAGAGGGCTCAATGCCCATCTCGGAAGATAGATCTTGCCAGGACATCTAAGCCAGGCAGACCATGGCTCACTGTTTGATGTAATGATGTTCACCCCTTCCCAAGACTTGGATCTCGTCCCCAACCCGGATCTGGAACGTATTGGATTCCGCCGGTACCAACTGCAACCCCAAACAAGCGTTGAGAGGGTCGCCGTCGTCGATACATCGGAATGACTTTAGCGTCTTGTCTGGCTCGACTGCATGGCGTTGCGCCGTGTCGGGATCGACATTGGGTAATCTGCATCGGACAGTGTGACAGGCACAGAAGAAGACATGATCACCCATCTTGATCTTCTTCCAGTCATCCTCATCGTATGCGCTTGGGCCGGAGACCAAAATGTTGGCTCGGAATCTTCTCGCCGAAAAGTGTGGAATGTCTTTCTTGACTCTGCCAGCGAGGTCTCGGACCGAAGCAATGTTCAAGAGATGCACCGGATAGGCGTCAGCAAACCCTACCACCGACTGATAACCTAGCTCATCTTTCCTGGGAGCACATCTGTATACTTCTCTGTAGCTCTTGGGGTCGACCCTGAACAGTGTGAAGGGATTGGTTACGCCAAGGTAGGTGCGCAAGTCATCGGGAACATGGACCGAAAGATTGAGCCACGTGGGACTATCCCGCCATATGGTCACCTGCTCCACGGGATATTTGTGGTTCTCCGGAGGAACCAGCGGTACCATGAACGATTTCTCCGGAGACAGGAGTCCCAGCGAAATCAGCAGCTTGAAGAGTCCAGAAAATGGCCCCGACGGAACACGGGGATATCTCACAACCATAAATCCTCCGTCCAAAGGGGACGATCTGGCAGCAACTAGTTCAGGCAGCCAGATCTCTGGTCTTACGCGGGCGAGCTTCTCGAGGCCAGGCTGACGTTGGGTCCTAAAGGTCCATCTGGGTTGTTTCTCTGCCTCCGAGGCATCGAGCCGGGTTTGAGGTGTCACTAGTTCGGCGAATGCAAACTTTCTATCCCACACGAAGCCCGCGCCGTCGACATCGGCCACATCCAATTCCACAGGAGCACAGGACTTGATGGGATGTATGAGCAAAGCCTTGACTTTCCACCCAGATTGAGGTGGCGACCCGGGAGGCCGAGTGTATTTTTCGTCGTATTCGTCAGCCATGTTGGATGAGCCCTGGAGCGTCAACCGCCGGTAGCCCTTTGGCCCGTTACGCGTCCTCCACGCTTCTTGCGCACATATGATGGTGATTGCAAGGAGTATGGGAGGTACGAGAATGGCGAAGTGATCCATGGCCAATCGTGTTCTGTGTTTTGTGTGTTTGTGCGACACACTTCGGGCAACTGTGCAGCGACAATGTTGGAGGCGACCGTCAGCGTCAGCGTCAGCGCCAGACTCTGGCCGTCAATTGTAGTCAGAAGAGGATGAAGACGGGTTTGGTAGCACCAGCAACAAATGGGACATTGCTGCAGACATGCATCGTGGCGGGGAAAAGATGGCGAGCGACCTGGGTAGATGAGGTACCTTAGTGCTCCTCCCCTAAGTATTTGAAAGACGGTCATTTGAACACCCTCCACGTGTCCGAGACGCGCCCCAATTTCCACTACGCGTCATTCGAACCGACGCGACTTGCAACCTCACTTTTTGACTCTGCCTGTGTTCTCCTTTGGCTGCGGCGCAGAGGGCAACAGGAAAACTGGTGTGTTTGATGTGCCGGCTCCGTGTCGGACATGATGCTGCTTTCTTCCCGTCGCTTGTCTTTCATCGCCTTCCCTGACTGCTTGACATCGACCCCGCCGTGAGACGACTTCGCGATTCGAAGACTCTGCCCTGCCACGAGGTTCACGATGCCGAGGGGATTAGGGGCCCAGGATCAGCATGGAGGATCGGGGTGCAGACATAGACATCCACAATTTCTCGGCCTCGCCATCTCAGCACCGTCTGCCAACTGTCTCGGGCATCGAGGCCCTTCAGAACGCAGCGGCTGGGGCCAAAGGCATTCCCTCGGGCCTTCCTGCTTTAGACTCTCTTCTTCTACCAAACTATCTCTCCATTGCTACCCCAGGCATTCAGAGAGGGCATGTCACCGAGGTATTTGGACCTCCAGGAGTTGGAAAAACGACTTTCGCACTTCAATTGGCTGTTAACGCTCTCCGCTCTTCCAGCAGCGAGTCTCATGTCCTGTGGGTCAATACGGGATCGCCACTAATCGAGAAACGGATTCATGAGATATTGGAAGCACGACATTTGGGAGATGACTGTGATACATCCTCCTCGCCGCCCGCCCCTTTCGACGCAGAAACGCCCCTTGAGAAGTTCATGTATCTTGAATCCAACACATTACCTAGGCTGTTGGCATTGTTTCTGCATCCAACACGGACCTTTCCATCCCAGGAGACGTGCTTGATTGTCGTGGATGACTTGTCCAATTTGGTGCTTGGCTCCTTCTCGAGGAATCCGAAAAGCCTGAAACCTGGGCCCCCTGCTGCTCTCAGAGAGAAATTGGAGAAGAGGGCGGCTGGGCGACGCTTCCAGATCATTGAAAGTCTGGCTGCTGCGATGTCAAAAACAGCCGCTCTCAAGAAACTCGCCGTTGTGGTACTGACTAATGCAACGATGAGCTTGAAGATTGGGCAGAAAGCCACCCTGAAACCGGCATTATCGAGTCAAGCATGGGATACCGCCGTGCATACCCGGATCATACTGTACCGCGACTTCCCGGACGAGCAACAAGAGGCCGAGATGTCTGAAATTGACGCTACGGAGTTGCGCTACGCCGAGATCCAACGGCTGGCACGCAAGGACGTATACAGAACGCCAGTGCCTTTTGTCATCCTCACTCGCGGTCTCCAGCCTTTGACCCTAGACATGTCAAGCAGTGGGAATCAATTGGCAGATGAAACGAACGTGGCAGATGAAATAAACGATGCAGCTGGACTAATGACTGAAAATGATGTCCCTCTTCTTCCCTTTGAGTTGTCTAAGCAGTCCCAGTCCAAAAAGCGTAAGGCTATCGAGATTGCTGATAGCGAGGATGACGATGATGAGGACGACGAGCAGGACATCCGCTCAGATCTCGACGAAATGCAGCTTCCACGCATGCTTCGTCGAGGAGGAAGCGCTTCCAACAAGCCGGAGGAGATGATTCTGGACACACACGAGCTCGCCATTCTAAGAAGCTATAGGTACGCTAGCATCAGGGGTTCCGAGGATGCGCTCGGTATATCCTCCTCGTCGTCAGAGGGTGAGGACGAGACTGATTCTGAAATCAACGTTCATCACGGCGAGGCTGTGCGGTAGGAAGACAACAATCCTCTGAAGCTCCAAACCAACAGCAGGAAGTCACGAGGGGAAACGGCTAAATAGGATACCCATCATCTACATTATCGGACGACAGAGGAGTCAACGATATAATGAACCAGATTCAAGGGTTCACACGCCCCTTGCACAATCCATGAGAGTGCTCTGCCATGTATCTGGCCCGCGCACTTCCTTCTCGATCTAAATCTTTCTTTTATCTTACAGCCAAAGGCAGAGCGGAGAATGCAATATACCAACGTTCCGACCCCCACGGACGTCTATCGTCAACACCAGCCCATGAATTTTATCTGTCCAGATAGCAAATCCGTCGTATGGCCAGTCAAATGCCGCACTCCACAAATGCCATGGCGCATAAAATCCGTCCGCAAAGGATCCTCTCCGTGCCTTGTCGATGGACAATCCACAACAGATCCGGCTCGAGTACGCTGCACCGACCCCACAGGTCACAGCAAACCGAACAGACGTATTACACATGGTGCGAATCTATATCATCAAGCTGGCTGCTTGCGCAGACTCGCCAGACCGGATTCTCGTCTGAGGTATATCGGAAGTTTTTCAGATGTTGCTGGTTTGAAACTGCCGATACTGTTGTCTTCAATCATCGTCGTCGTGATCTTTTTCCTTATCCTCTTTTGACCTTTTCAGTGTGTCTTTCCACAAAGCATTGATCTCCTCCGTACGAGCGTCAGGAAAGACAATCTCGAAGACGTCGTCGTACCAGTCAACTGCATGGCCTTCAATGCCTTCTCTGATGTTCTGCAACGCTGGTCAGTTCTGTCTGGACGTTGAAATCGATCAAGGGATGGGAACTTACCTCAGGCAACTCGCACCAATCGCCCCAGTTATCCTTAGGGAAGAGAATCTTGGAGCAACCCGCTCTTCGAGCTGCAACTGTCTTCTCTCTCAAGCCACCGATTCTGAGAACCTTGCCCGTTACGGTTAATTCACCGGTCATAGCCAGTGCGGGATCAACCTGCTTGTCCATGGCCAAGCTTAGTAGGGATGTCGCCATTGTGATACCGGCTGATGGACCGTCCTTCTGAACAGCGCCCTCGGGACAGTGCAGGTGGATTTTCGCGTGGTCAAAAAACCGATTTTCAGGGAAACGGGTGGCCAAGACGTGTTTGGCGAACGAATACGCAATCGAAATCGACTCCTTCATTACGGCCTTCAAGTTGCCCGTCCGCTCTAGACTTGGTCTGCTGGAATGTGACAATGCTGACTCCAGAATGGATTCGACGTAAAGGGCTGCGCCTCCCATGCTAGTCCAAGCGAGCCCCATGGCAACGCCGGGCGGTGTGGTTTCGTAGAGACGATCAGAGGTGAAGACCGGAGGACCAACGTAATCTTTCAGGTTGTCTTTCGTGATCGCCACATGCACCGAATCTGGCAGTTGGAGTGCGACTCGCGGGTGTTCCGTCGTTTCCTTCTCAATGGACTCGGGAGTATCCTTGACGTCTGAATCAGATTTCTGGCTTTCTTCGAGCGCAGCCTTGCCTTCTTCCGTCAACGCCGCCGACTCCGGCAGAGCTTCCTCACCAAGATCCTGGATGATCTTCAAGGCTGACTTGCGGAAGACCTTTTCAATTTGCTTTTTGAGGTTTCGCACGCCCGATTCGCGACAATACTTATTGATGAGCTCCTCAATTGCGGATTCCTCCAAATTGACGTCGGCATCTTTCAGACCAGAAAGTTCCTTCGCCTGTGGTGCAAGGTAGCGCTCCGCGATGGCCTTCTTCTCGTCCGCGACGTAGCCACTGAGTTCAATCATCTCCATGCGATCGAGTAGAGGCCGGGGAATAGTATCGGTCATGTTTGCTGTGCAGACAAACAGAACCTTGGACAGATCAACAGGGACATCCATGTAGTGGTCCAGGAAGCTTGAGTTCTGCTCAGGGTCGAGCAGCTCGAGCAGCGCGGAAGCAGGGTCTCCCTGGTGGCCACGGCCGATTTTGTCCACCTCATCAATGAGGATGAGAGGATTCTCTGTTTGGCACTTCTTGAGGGCCTGGATAATCCTACCGGGAAGGGCACCAACATACGTCCGACGATGTCCTTTGATCTCGGCGACATCTGTCAAGCCTCCAACACTGAATCGGTAGTACTGTCTATTCAATGCGCGAGCAATTGATTTGCCGATTGAGGTCTTTCCGACACCGGGAGGACCAACAAAACACAAGATCTTGCCTTCGACAGTCCCACGGAGCTTGCCGACGGCGATGAACTCGAGGATCCGGTCCTTGACATCTTTCAGTCCATAGTGATCCTCATCCAGCACCGTCATGGCATTTTTGATGCCAAAGTTCTCGGCACTCCTTTGGCCCCAAGGGATCTGAGTGAGCCAGTCTAGATAATTCCTGGTCACGTTGAACTCGGACGCTGCAGGTTCGAGATGGGCCAGCTTGTTGAGCTCTTCTTCAAAAACCTTCTTGACAGCTTCAGGCATGGCCAGCTTTTCCGCCTTTTCTTTGAACTTCTCAACCAGTTTGTCTTTGCCATCAGACTCAATGCCCAGCTCTCGTCGAATGCCCTTCATTTGTTCCATAAGCCAGTACTCTCGTTGTCGCTTCTGAATCTTGCTTTCCACGTCCTTGGAGATCTTCGACTGAAGTTTAGCATTCATCAGTTCCTTCTTAAGAACAACCAATGCCTTGTGCAACCTCTCCTCAACATTCATGGTCTGGAGAACGTCTTGCAATTCATCGACCTCGCCAGCAGACACTGCGGCGGCAAAGTCCGCGAGCTTGGCCGGCTCTTCAATCACGTTGCCGGCGGACTGCGACACACTGAAATCTGAAATCTGATCTCGAAATAGCTGATTGAGACCCGCTACCTCTTTGAAGACATTGACAATCTCCGAGGTCAAGGCTCTGATCACATCGCTCTTTTTATCATAAGGAACTTCTGTCAGATTCTCCACATTCACCAGCGAGACGGGATACTTCCGGAGAAATGCTGTTGGCTCATACACACTCAACTGAGCGGGCTGGTCTTTGTTTGGTTCCTCGAAACTGGCGACGACGTCGCCCTTGTTCTCAGAGACACCCTCTGCCACGGGTTTGCCTTCATTTGCGGGCTGGATCTCGACCACAGATGGGCCTTTCTCAGCACTGGTTGAGGGAGGCATCAAAGCAGTCATTTTTATCCGACGATGGGGGTAGAGCACCGCAGTCAAGCTATGCTCGTCGCCATGAACCGGAAAAGCGCTTGTAATCTGAGCGAAAACACCCACGTCGTGAACATCATCCGCTTTTTCGATGATGTCCTTGTCTGCGGTTTCGTCCTTGAACAGGAATGCGCCAACATATGGTTGTCCTCTCTTCATCATTTCCGTGATCGCAGCCACCACATTTGGATCTCTGATTGTGATAGCCTTGTAAAAGCCAGGGAATAATGGACGTTTGGCAATGGGAATGGCCATGACTTGGGGATAGATTTCCGGAACGGTAGGTTTCGATATCTGCGTACTCTTCCGTCCACGCCTGGTACCATCGCCCCCACCAGAGCTCTGTCCAGGTGCTGATGATGAGGATTCTCCGCCATTACCTCCTGCTGCCGTAGGTTTTGCCTGGTTCACAGATTGGGGTATAGGTTGTGGTTCGGACGGGGATTTTTTGGATTCGACGCTGTCTTCGGGCTGGGGTGCTTCGTCAAGTTCGTTCGTTACCTTTTTGGCCTTTTCATCGACATCTTCGGATTGCGCGGGGGGGTCGTCCTCGGGTGGTTTGTCTTTCCGGCGGACTGGATGCGAAGAGAATTGACGGATTTGTAAGCCATGTCGAGCTACGATAACAGAGGCGGGTGTAGGTCGTCGAGCGGTCGCGGAGGAGGAGAAAGCGGTCCGTTGGATGAGCTGCCGCCTGCAGTCCCTACACAGGCTATGTTGACTGCTTCGGAGCGCAATCCTCCATGGTAGACTTTGACCGCGGAGCATGCTCTGGGAGAGATCGGGGTCCGGGGTGGCGGCGGCGTCAGGCGTTACAGCGACCTCTCAATCCGGCTTGCTTCAAAGGTTGAAGCGTAGACTCTCCACACGATAGGGAGACAGAGAAGGAAGCAAAGGTATTTGACGAGAGGAGGACTGGAAAGAGGCTCGCCGGCGGAAGAACAGGTTCCCGTGTTGCGTAGGCTGGACCGACAGCATGCTACCTAGACACTGGACAGGTACTGAACTCATCGTTCCCGGAGAGGAAACTGCGGCGAGCGGAGTTAAATTTTGCCCAAGTAGCGAAAAGCCTGGAACTTTCCGACTCATGTGCTGCCCGGGGATCCTGCATCAGCGAACTACTGCTACAACTACTACAACTACATTCCCAGTCCATCTTCTGCGCCACACAGCGGAGTTCTTCGTCTCTATGTACATACGGCACTGTCAAACATCAGCTCGATGAGTGTTGCAGGGGCTGCTTGGGTCGGCACGGCCCCCCGCTTAATCAGGACGTCGGTACAATGCCCGCGACATTGCAGTAATCTCTCCCGCAAAGCTCAGACAAGACATTTGTCCAAGTCTACCACTCTCAGAAAACCCACGATTAGACGTCCTTTGCCCTCGAACCAGACACGGCTGTTCTCGGCAACACCAGCCTCTTATGCGACCAAGGACCCCTACAAGACCCTCGGCGTTGGTAAGGATGCCTCCGCATCCGAGATCAAGAAGGCATACTACGCCCTGGCGAAGAAGTTCCATCCCGATACGAATAAAGACCCTGGCGCGAAAGAGAAATTCACAGATGCGCAGGCGGCATATGAGTTGCTGAACGACCCTCAAAAGAAAGCCGCGTTTGACCAGTTTGGTGCCGCTGCCTTCGATCAAGGAGCTGGGTTCGATCCGGGTGCTGCAGGGGCCGGTGGACATCCTTTCGGCGGAGGCGGGAATCCATTCTCTGGCTTCGGTGGAGGGTTTGGCGCCGAGTTCAACTTTGAAGATCTCTTCGGCGCATTTACTGGTGGTCGTCGTGGCCGGCGAGGGCCCTCGCCGTTCCAAGAGGAGATCCTGGTCGGCGACAACATTGAGGTTCAAACAAACATTTCTTTCATGGACGCCGCCAAAGGTGTGACCAAAAACATTACAATTACACCCCTGGTGCAGTGCGGCACGTGCCACGGCGCAGGGCTGAAGCCGGGATCTCAAAGACAAACATGCAAATCATGTAACGGGACAGGAACAAGAGTTCATGTGATGCAGGCTGGTTTCCAGATGGCTTCGACCTGTTCTACCTGTAGCGGTACTGGAACGGTTATTCCCAGAGGGTCGGAGTGTCATACATGTTCTGGTAACGGGGTCGTTCGACAGCGGAAGACCATCTCCGTCGACATTCCTCCCGGTGTGGAAGACCAAATGCGCCTTCGGGTAGGGCTCTCTGGGGACTATCCTGCCACGGGCACGACGACGAATCCAAATGTGAAGGCTCAGCCGGGCGATCTATATGTTTTCATTCGAGTGGCGCCAGACGCAAGATTCAGTCGAAACGGGGCGGATATTCTCCACACCGCCTCAATAGCAGTGACAACTGCGTTACTAGGAGGTGAAGTGACTGTGCCCACACTTGACGGAGAAGTCAAGGTGAGAGTGCCACCTGGGACAGCAACCGGCGATAGGATAACATTAGGTGGAATGGGCATGAAGAGACTCGGTGGGCGAGGAGCGTCTGCAGGCGACCTTCGCGTGGAGTTTAAAGTGGCCATGCCAAGGTCGTTGAGTGCCAATCAGCGAACACTCTTGGAGATGCTAGCAGATGAGATGAATGACAAGACGGCGAAAAGAACCATGAACCTGAACCAATTCAAACAGTGAGTCCCATGTTGCGTGAGGGGACCAAATGCTCATACTCTACAGGGACAATAAGCCGTCGAAGCCATCCAGCAAGCCTGCAGACCACAAAAATGAGGGATTCCTCAAGTCGGCCTGGCACAAACTGACACATCAGCACGATAACTTGGACCCCGAAATAGAGGGCAAACAGTCGAAAGACGGCAAGTCGGAGTCCAAGGACGACGAAGTACCAAAAAAGGCGTCAGGTTCTGGATAAAACAACCGACTGTGGCCGTGGCCCACCGCATTTCCCAGAGCCTCTGCCTGTTCTTCTCGATTTGTTCTTCGCAGCGGCGGGCACCGGATGAGGTTAAATAGCATGTTGCGATATAGAAGAGAGGGGTTACTCTGTACAGTGACATCTGCGCTATCACTTGCATGATCAAGGGTTGACTTCAAAAACGTGTACAGTATTGGTTGGCATTTGGAATGCATGATCAAGGAAGATACCCATCAACTCAATGTAAAACAATCAGTGACCCAACCACTTCGTGCTCACAAATGCGCTATGATTCAGCACGTCTTTCTTCGTGTAAACGCAGCAGCTGTATGCATGCTCCGTATACAGCATATAGAATCATTAAATGGACGAGTTCAGAGTACTCCGTACTCTGAACAGCCCCATCAGGAGCCCTGGTGAGTTCAGCCTGATGCCCCACGTGATGTGGAGATGGACTTAGGGACCATGATTGTTCTCCGAATGCGCGCCTCAGAGCCCATCATCACATCCCACTCCAACCTTGTTGCGCTGCACATCACGACTTTAGGCGCCCACGACTCGACCCAAATTTCTTCTGTCGTCAAACTATCGCATGGCCGACCTCTGTAAGCATTGACCTTGTCTTTGCCTCTCTGCCTCTCGTTCTCATCGCGCCGTCGGGCCTCTGGAGCCCTCGACTCCCCTCAACATGGTTCAAGCGCCGATGCTGTCCTGCCCGCTGAAGCAGACAAACGAGATCGACTGGGTGACTCCGTTGAAGAACTACATTGCAAACAACTATGGCGATGATCCGGAGAAATATTCGGAAGAGTGTCAAACACTGCAACGTCTGAGGCAGGACATGAGAGGGGCTAGTAACGACTCAGCCTCGGGAAGAGATCTATTGTATAGATACTACGGCCAACTTGAGTTGCTGGATTTGAGATTTCCTGTGGATGAACAGCACATCAAAATCAGCTTCACATGGTAAGGCACTGTCACACCTGCGCGGGAGCTGAACTGAAGCAATCTAGGTTTGATGCGTTCAAAGGCACGCCGACCTCTCAGCACTCGTTGGCCTTTGAGAAAGCCTCCGTCATCTTCAACATATCTGCGGTGCTCTCTTGCCATGCCGCCGCTCAGAATCGCGCCGAAGACAAAGACCTCAAGACCGCCTACCATTCCTTCCAGGCATCCGCCGGCATGTTCACCTACATCAACGAGAACTTCCTTCACGCACCTTCCAACGATTTAAGCCGCGAAACCGTCAAGACGTTAATCAATATTATGCTAGGTCAAGCACAGGAGATCTTCTTGGAAAAACAAATACGGGATGGAAAAAAACCGGCGCTGTTGGCGAAACTCGCAGCACAAGCACAGTTTCTTTTCAGCCAAGCCAAAGAGGGACTCGAGTCGGATCATGGCCAGCACGTGTTTGACTACACGTGGGTTAAACTGATTCAGATCAAGACTTTGCACATGTCTTCGCTTGCGGAATATTATCAAGCCTTGACCGAGGACGAGACCAACCTTCACGGTTCAGCAATCGCTCGCTTGCAGCTGGCAGAGAAGTCCAGCAAGCAAGCATACTCGTCTGCGAAGTCGGTCCTTAGCTACCCATCGACCGAGTCACGGCTTGGGTCAGATACCGCCACGAGCATTCAGGCAATCACCCGGAGACAGCTGGAAAATGTGCAGGAGAAGTTGAGCGTGCTGGTCAAGGATAACGACTTCATATATCACCAAGTCATCCCTGCGGAGGCCTCGTTGTCTCCTGTGGCGAAAGTACCTGCAGCCAAAGCCATTCCTCTTTCCGACCTCTACCAAGGACAAGACATTCAAAGGATCATTGGGCCAGATATCTTCCAAAAAATCGTCCCAATATCAGTGACCGAGTCGGCCAGCATGTATGACGAGGAGAAGGCCAAGTTGATCCGGTCGGAAGCCGAGAAAGTGGAGCAAGCCAATGGTGAGATGGCAGCGAGTCTCGACTATCTGAAACTCCCGCAGAGCCTGAACGTGTTGAAAGGAGGGTTGGATCAAGAAACGCGAATGGACAAGGAATTCGAACAGTGGTGCCAGGAAATTGCCGATCATCAGCCATTCAGTGGTGCTTTTGAACAGCTGCAGAAGGACAAACAGGCTGTTTTGACGAGTCTGGCAAAGAGCACGAAACAACTTGATATGGAAGAGAGTGTTTGCGAGAAAATGAGGACCAAATATGGTGCGGACTGGACCCAGCAGCCGAGTTCCCGGCTCACGTCGACTTTACGAGCCGACATCAAAAACTACCGAGAGACCGTCGACCAAGCCGCAGCTAGTGACTCACAACTCCTCGCTGCGGCAGAATTTTGCGAAGCTGATTTTGAGGCAATGAGGAAGGCCGGCGAACAGGGCGAGGCTGATGTCTTGTATCAACAAGCCTTGATCAAGGCCGGCTCGGGGTCGAAAGCGACCAAAAGCGCCGACGAAGGTAGTCTTCTTGATGAGGATTACGGTGAGGGTGGGATGTCGGTTGCCAACCAGATCGCCAAGGTGGAGGAGCTGTTGCGGAAGCTCAGCCTGGTCAAACACGAGCGGATGCAAGTGCTGAAGGACTTGAAGGAGAGAGTGCACACTGATGATATATCCAACGTGCTCATCTTGAACAAGAAGGCGATTGCGAATCAAGAAACTCAACTGTTTCAAGCCGAGCTGGAGAAGTTTCGCTCGCATCAAAATCGTCTCATCTCCACCGTGCACAAGCAGTCGTCCTTGCTCAGAGAACTGACCAAGGCATATGGCGATCTTTTGCAGGACAAGCGAGTACGGGTGGATCAACAGAGATACGATGCGGTGCAGAAGAGCAAGAACAGTGTTCTGAATAAGTACCGAAGGGTCGTGACTGCGCACCGAGATCTAATCCAAGGCCTGAAGCGAGCCCAAACCTTCTACACTGACATGAAGGAAAGCGTCGATAGTTTGGAGAAGAATGTGGAATCTTTTGTCAGCAATCGACGGGCAGAAGGTGCACAGCTCCTCCACCAGATCGAGCAGACCAAAAACAGCTCCGCCGATGGTCAGGCTGCGGCCGAGCAGAAACGAATACAAGAGTTGATGAATCGGTTGTCGATGGAGCCAAAATCGGCCTCTCCGTCCCAGACCGAAGCTCCTGGTCTTCCTCCTCTCCCAGCAGCCATCAACACATCCAGATCTCCAGCGCCTGTTTCTCCGTCATACCCGACCACGAATCCCGATCCGCGGTTCACCATACCGCCCCGTCACTCACCGGCGCCTGTGGTGCCAAACGGGTATTCCAATCAGCTTAAGCCGCCGTCCCAACAACCAGCCAATCCTTCTCCTGTCGAGTCTCAGCATGCTTTCGCTCAAGGGGCGGCCGCACCTTTGTCAACCAGTTACAACCCTATGGCCTACCCGGAGAGATCCATCACGACCCCGATTCAACAATCAGGCAGTCAGCAGCACTACCCGTTTTCGCCCATCACATCTCAGCCAGGGCTGACCGCATATTTTCCGCAACAACCTCCGCCTCAGTCGCATACACCTGTGCAGCCTTTGAACTTTACATCTCCCACACAGTACTCCCACCCTCAATACGCATTTCCGCAGCCTGGAGCATCCGGAACGTACCCGGCCGCATCGCCGCATACACAAATCCCTCCAGGACAAACCCCATACCAAAACTACCACCCTACGCCTTACAACATGCCTCAAAATTATATTCCTCCGCCGCCGCCTCCTGGGCCGCCGGGAGGAGGTTCTACGACCCAATACGCTCCGAATCCGTCAGGAGTCTGGCCCAGCGGGCCGGGAGGCTATGCGAGTTATGCGCAACCAAGCCGACATACTCCACAACAGCAACAGCAACAGCAGCAGCAGCAACCAGTGCAACCCCAAGGACAGGGGCCACAAGACCCAGATCCATGGGCGGGGCTGAATGCATGGAAGTGAGGAGAATACGTAGACATGAACAAGGAGAGTTAGCAAAGACGTTGTGAAGTTATGATACCATGAACGAGCGAAGCGAGCAAAGCGAAGCGAAGCAAAGCACAGGGTGGTTTATTCATACCTATGTAGACGAGTCAGCAGCTGAAATGAATTAAGTCGAGAGAATAGTTGCGAACGAAGCTTGATTCTGACCATGTTGCAGTTGTTAGTTTGCCTTTCTTATGTTTGTGGTTCCGTTCACTCGACCATTATACGTATGAGTGATTATCGTACAGAATCCTATGACTATTCTATAACATCGACCTATATTACCTCAGACTGTATAAATAGTATGTACTATGTACCCATGTACCTATATATTTAGAGTGTGTTCTCTAGTATACTCTCTAAGTCTGCTCTCTAAGTCTGCTCTCTAAGTCTGCTCTCTAAGTCTGCTCTCTAAGTCTGCTCTCTAAGTCTGCTCTCTGCGTGTGCTTCTGAGTATACTCTCTAAGTGTACTCTCTGTGTACTCTCTAAGTCTACTCTCCGAGTATACTCTCTGTGTGCTCTCTAAGTGTGCTCTCTGAGTCCAAGTCTGAGTCTCAAGCGAACCCTGAGCTAAAGGTGGACTAGACGTCGACATCGACATCGACATCGGCGTCAGCATCAGCGTCAGCGTCAGCGTCAGGGCTGACCTGGTTTTTCGAGACGTAGAGGAAGAAAGCTTGAAAGAGTGAATATCATGTAGGTATAGGTAGTTAGTACCTGTCTACTTACTCTACTTACTCGGCCGGCAGTACATGGCATATCTAAGTATACTCCGTACGTACGTACACATCTCATCATGGTCAATAGACTTACTAATATGTTGTACTGCATACTCTGTAGTCTGTACTCTATACTCCGTACTCTGTCCTGCGTGCTCTGTACTCTCTACTCCGTACTCTCTACTCTCTACTTCGTACTCCGCACCATCTCGTGGAGGTACATACGGAGACGAATACTGAGACAGAGGCAGAGGCAGAGGTGGAGGCGGAGGCGCGGATAGGTTATAATCAGGCAGGAAGAACGTAAGAAAGGGAAGTCAGTATCCGTGAGTGTAAGTGTGAGTGTGTCTAGACGGTCTCTCAAGAGTCCAGACCAGATGATCAGATCCATGTCGACGAAAGGGTTCGGAGAAAGCCAAAATAAAAATCCGGTCCAGTACGTATGTATGAATGGATGGATGAATGAATGGATGGATGCCTCCTCCCTAAGTTTTTCTTTCTCTTGTTTCTTGTGCTTTTTCTTGTGCTTTTTCTTGTTTCTTTCTTCGCATACTAACGTCATTCCAAGTTGTTAGTGTGTAGTGCAGTGTGGTAACGGCGGGCCGGGAAAAGCTTGTTCGACATCGATAGTCATTCCATTTGTCTCCATCTATCTCAGCCTTGACTTTTGGCTTTTGACTTCTGACCCTCTGGCTCCTAACTTCTGACTCCTAGCTTTTAACTCCTGATCTTGACTCCTGATCTTGACTCCTGATTTTGACTCCTGGCTCTTGACTCCTGGAGTCGGTATATGCAATGCGGGCGGAAGGAAACTAGTCTAGCCGCGCCGCGCTCAGCTGAGGTGAGATGAAGCTAGGACTAGGACCAGGATCGGGACCACGACTAGAGCTAGCACCACGACCAGAACTAGGACCAGGACCAGTACTAGGGGCAGGGCAGGGCAGGGCAAAGTCAGAGGAAGGGGCAAAGGCAGGAGCAGGGGCAAGGCAGGGGACATGCATGTATATCCATACATGCCGGTCATTATAATAACTTGGAGGCAAGGAGAGTCCCTCTCTGCTTCAGCTGGGATGGCCACGTCAAGTAGTGTGGAATAGAATAGAGTGGAATAGAATAGGGAAGAGCGTGACATGACAAGACAAAGGCAACGGCTTAGTGGCTCAGAGATGAGAGAAGAGAACGGGAAGGGCTGGTAAATGGCACTGGTCAGGCCTGGTCCTGGTACTGTATGTTGGCTCCTGCTGAAGTCCAAGTGAGGCACTTGCCTGGGGCGGTGTTTCCAAGGCCTCTTCCCTGGTTGGTCATGAAATGTAGAGACAGAAACCATACTCAACACTTGTGAGGTGTCAATATTTATGAGGTGGGTGTTGTAGTGTCGGGGCCGGGGTCGGGGTCAGGGCTGAGGTCGGTGTGTCTCAACATACTGTACAGAATACAGAATCAGAATACCACACTAGTATATCCGTACTCTGATCTGACAGACTAGAGGTCAGTCGGACTGATGGGATGGACGAGAACAATGTCGAGAACGTCCGGCTATGGAGCCCCCCCTTGCCCTTGCCCTTGTCAAGCTGAGGATGTGATCGGATGGAAGAGAGAACAGAGAGGAGAGAAGAGAAAAAGGAGCCAGGCATCCGAACCAACGTTACAGTATCCGGACTCGTATCCGTACAAACCAAAGTTCAAAGTTCAGTCCTTGACCGCCCTCTCAGCCCCGGACTGTACAGACAACAGGGGACGGCATGGCATGGAAGCAGTCAGAGGAGATGTGGAAGACATAGCCCTGTAAGTCAGGTAGGGTAGTTGGGTCAGAGAAGATGTGGAAGAGATAACCCTGTAACATGAAAGCGGTCAGAGAAGATGTGCGAGACATAGCCCTGTAAGTCGGGTAGGATACTCGTAGTTGGAGTCACCACTGAAAGCCTAAGGAGCCTCTCAGGGGACGTGCACGGGGTCGACGACAAAGTACGTACAGAGAAACTCCTCATCAGGACCCCAGGACCCAGGCTGGAGTATTGATGGCCAGTCCTTGATTCGCGCCTTTTGCCAGCTGAGACGAAGACTGACCCCGGAATCTGGCCAGGGGTTGAATGAAGGGGGGAGGGGGCACGGGACGCGGGGAGGATCGGATAAGCATGCAGAAGAGAGTGGAGGAGCTGCTGCCGTGAGCCGTGAGCAGAGAGCAGAGCAGAGAGCAGAGCCGAAGAAGAAAAATGTTGAGGAAGCCAGCAAGTCACTGCAACTGCACTGCAGGACGAGCAATCCCGCAGTCCCGCGTCCCCATAGCTCCAGATCCGAGATGCGTGCCAATGCCTGGTGTGTATTTTATCTTGACGCTCAACACTCCCTGCTTGCTGCTTGCTGCTCGCGGCTCGCGGCTTACCGGTTGCCTGTTGCTGCAATGTGGTGTATGGCGTATCATGTCTCAGTGACCCATCTGGCCTCCCTGACCTTCCTGGATGGATCACGTCACAGGAATGAGGGCGAGGGCAGGGCGGCTATTCTCGTAGACATAAGAATCAACCACCAGCCATCACGGGGGTGGCCAACAGCGACAGCGACAGGAAGAAGACTGCAGCCCGACAGACGTCAAGGCAAGGTTGACCCATGTCCGTTAGAGCAGGACTGAGAAGGGCATGGGGGTGTTGTAGGCCGTACACATAGACACATAGACACATAGCCCAGTAATGGGGCATATATGTACTCCATACGGAGTACAGGAGAGTCAGTCGAGGCATGTGCTAGATCGAGGTGGGCATGTGTGAAGAAGAATAGTGCGTGCTATGTGTACAGAATACTGTCTCCATACTCTGTCTTCCGTCTTCCGTACCTGTGACAGTGTCGATACAGACCTCCCTTAGTAAGGTCAACTCACCGACACACATCAGGCTGGGGCTGGGAAAGGCGGTGTAGCATTTCCGAGACAGAAGTCAAGTCAAGGTCGATTGATTGACCCCTGCGACGCGAAGGAAGCAAATGGACAGGGGACAGGGACAGGGACAGGGACATGGACATGGGGAGTGGACATGGGGAGTAGACATGGGGAGTAGACATGGGGAGGAGACATGGGGAAACAGACTTTTCGAAGCAGGATCGAGAGATGACGCTCTGATCTCCCTTGGGCCGGGGAAGGCGGAGGCGATAGGAATGGATTGGATACTGCAGTACGGAGTACGGAGTACTCGGGCACTCGTCCTCAGTACGGCACAGATGTAGAGACTGGAGTTGCCCCGGATCTGGCTGAGGCCTCGAGTCACTCGACTTAGGTGCAGGTGCAGGTGCAGGGGCGGGAGGTGGGTGGGGTTTGTTTGTATGTATGTGTGTGTGTATATGTGTGTATGTGTGTATGTACATACAGTCATGTCGTGATAGAAGATGGAACAACTCACCTGAGTCTACCGTACCGGATGTGCATCTCTCACGAGGAGATTGCGGTGAGACATACGACATGCCATGCCATAACATGCCATGCTATTCCACGGGGGAATTTGGATGGGGATGGGGATGGGACGGGGCTGAGGATGGGGACGGGGAGGGGACGGACGGGCACGGTTCAGACCACTTCTATCTTCGTCTCGTGTCGGGGTTGCGTTGCGGTGCGTCAAGCTGGAGAAGAGAAGGAGAGGAGAGGATCTCTCAGCGTCAGCATCAACGTCAGCATTAGCATTGCCATTGCCGTCGCCGTCGAGCGCCGAATGTAACCATCGAGCTTCTAGAAGGCGTAATCCATTAGCGTCTTATGTAGCAACATGCAGTGACCTGATCGATGGTTTAGTCCTCACTCATCGACGATGGTGATGTGATAATGTAATGATAATGCCACCGAGGACGGAGTATTTGATTGCTATCACTCTGGAATACTAATTTGTATACACACCTACTCGTATCTACTCCGTACGCATACTGATGGACGGCCCAGACTCCGCGAAATCCACCCCAGAAATCAATAGTAGCGGGCCTAGAAGTCCTCATCCCCAGCTTTCCAGGTGCACGTCCTCCATCTCCATCCTCCATCATCTATCCTCCATCATCTATCCTCCGTCCATCCGTCCATGCATTCATTGAATCAATGAATCAATAAATCAATAAACAGCCAACCGAGTTCAGCACGGCCGCGAACAAAAGTACTTGTGTGGACTGTAGATACGTAGATACTTACCACTTACTGTAGTCATCACCTCAGTGACCGTGTCCGGACAGCATCGTCCTGGGCCGTGCAGATACAGCTCAGATACAGATACAGATGCGGCGCTGATCTTGTCATGATTCAGCTATCATTCCATCATCTCATCTCCATCTCCATCTCGGTGTCTCCGTCTCGTCATCGTTATGATCAACGTGAATCTCCAAGCTCAACACCAGCATCGGCATTGGCATTCGCCCTCGCCTTTGCTTTTGCCGGCTTCGGATCAGCAGTTGGGCGTCGCCACCCTCGTATGTACAGTAGTACAGTAAGCTCAAGTTCGCGTAAGGAAGTAAGCCTTAGCCTTAGGAGCCCTTGGCCACTCAAGCAGGCCTCAAGCCTAATGAATGCCGGCTGTGCCTCCTGTCAGCCCCTGCAGCCCCTATGTAGCCTCTACTCTGTATGTGCCTAAGGTCCTAAGCCCCTATGTACCCCTACGCCTCTCCTGACTTACAGTACCACCCCGGTCGCTCGTACAGTTGGTCCCATCTGGAGTCAGCTGAAACACTCGGGAAGATCTGACACCACCACCCACCACCCCAGGCCTGCCCGGAATCAAATGCTTGTTGGGCCTCCGTCGTAACCCTAACTAACAACTGCCTGCCACTGCACAGCACTGCACAGTGCTGACTGCACACTGCACACTGCACACTGGATTTCTACTCGTCCGAGGACCAAGGGACGGATAAGGAAAGGTATACATACACGGTACGAATACTCCGGACCGTGGACTGTACAGTCTACACAATACAATAGTGCTCCGTACAGTGTACACAATAGTGCTCCCTATTACTCTGTGCAATGTGCAATATGCAATATGCATGATCATTACTCACTCACTCGTCCTCTCAATGCCTCCCACCTACCTCCCAGAGTCCTGATTCCCATGACTGTTCGTCGTTTCGTCTCCCCCCCCTATCCCCCTATCCCCCTATCCCCCTATCCGGCCCATAGTGTGGGGGACTGCCTCCTAAGCCGTTTCCATAGGCCAAGCGAGTCCGGGGTACGAGCGGTAGCACGCACACGCATGGCATGTGGCTGCATCATCTCATCACACTGGCAACTGGCACTGGCAACTGGCCACGGGCAACAAGTGAAAGTGATAGTGATACGATATTATTATTACACTTCTACGGCGTCTGCCTGCCGCCTACTGCCTAGTAGCCCTGTCAAGCCCGGTGACTCAGCCATCGTCCCCATCGTCCCCCTCGTCCCCCGGTCTGAGACAACAAGATTTACGGCTTTACGGCCCGCCTCACTCCCCCAGCCATCAGCCATCAGCCATCACTCATCACGACATGTGTCAGTAAGGAGGCATCCTATCATCTATCCGTATGCACTACGGACTATCCGTACGAAGTACTCTTGAATCATGCTTTAACTGGGCAGAGCCTGAGCCTGAGCCTGAGCTGAAGCGCCAGGAAACCCCGTCACAACCTGAATTGGGCTATCTCAAGTTACACATGTAAACGCGGGATTGGCTGGAAATCGCTAGCAGCCCATTTGCCTGGCCTAAGGCTGATTTGATGCCTTAGGCTTCGTCCCCCATCCCAAGCAATCCCCCCAAACACCGTTCTATTTGGCGCTGTCGGCCTGTCCGGCGCCATCCCATCCATCCCCCAGTTCCGTCTATACCATGCTCCTCGCTCTTGTCCTTGTCCTCCAATTCATCCAGCTGGCTCTATCCTTGGCGGTCTGTCCTACCGCATACAGGAAGAAGAATCACGCGGGAAAACAAAAAACACTCAAAACTCCCAAATAAAGCCATGGAGAAGTGAATCATGTAAAGTGCGTAGCTGCCGTAATCGTCTCGGTCTCGGTTCCACCCTGTAAGCCTGGGCTAGTTGACTCGGTAAACACGAGATCTGTCCTCCTCCTGCGCCTCACCGGCCATAATCGCCGTTGATGGACGCCGCCGTACTGGATTCGCCAGAGCTCATGCCCGTTGGGATGCCCAGCATCTCAGACACCCCGAGTTTCGGGAGTTGCGGCACCGGCAGTTTGCGTTGCGTTCCCGTGACAATGTCGGCGATGGACGGGCCCGAATGTTGAGGCGCCGGAATGTGCGAGTACGACCCATCTGCCTGGGGTTCCATCGGGGCCAGAAGAGGGGTATGACCGAGGGAGAGATGACGGAGACCGGGCAGCTGAAGGTCGCTGCCGTGCGGGCGAAGGCGTGGGGAATGGCCCGGCGTCGCGAGAGGCGTGTGGTCCGGCGTGGGCGATATCGATGCGTGAGAGAAGGTCGGGGACGACGGAGCGGTCGAGTGCGGCGAATTGGGTCTCGACTTCTTCACCCGGTGGTCGTCATCGTGCGTCTCTTGCGAGTGAGACCTGGACATGGAGTGAGAAATGGCGTAGGCCGAGAGAGACGGCAGCCGGCCGTTACTGTGGTGGGTGCGATGGCTGAAAAGATGGTGCTGATGCTGGTAGGGCACTCGCGAGACATGTTCGTCCCTCTCGACCTGCGAGGCCGCCGTGGCCAGCAGGTTGATGTCCATCGCATTCCGGTCGTCACTTCGTCCAAAGGGCCCCAGGTGCGTCGGCACGTGAGGGCTATGGGTTGCGTGCACAGCGAACGAGTGAGGCGGCGACACATTGGGGGACGCGGCACCAGAAGTAGGAGCAGACCGGCTGGGCAGCCCGTTCTTGTTCGGTGGTGGCATCATCTGGGCCTGAGAGGTCAAGTTCGGGTTGGATCCATCTTGAAGGCCCGCGAGGGCGGCGGCGGCGGCCACTTGATGAGTCTTTTGGTTGCGACGAGAGTTGGGGTTGTTGTGAATGCGCGAATGCCGAGTCAACTCGTCAGAGCGACTGAAGCGCTTACTGCAGCCTGGGAACTGGCAGGCATGGGGCTTTTCTCCTGTGTGTGTGCGAATGTGCCTGGTTTGATGCTCCAAGCGGTGGAAGGCTCGGTCGCAAAGAGGGCACTTGTAGGGGCGAGGGAGATCCTGTCTCTCCTCAGCGCCGGTCGACTGCGCGCCCACCGGGCTAGGCATCAGGCTGACGGCGGCCGCCATGTTGGTGTCGGTTTGGGTGTCGGTTGATACACTCGATGAGGCCGCGGCGGTGTTGGACGTCTCTTGTGAGGGATGAAAGGGAGTTGAAGGGGCGGAAGAAGGAGGAGTAGGATTGAGGATGGCAGTAAAGTCTACTGCGGATGACGAGCGTTGCATTCGTGCGAGCGACGCACTCGGTTTTCCCCAGATGATCGATGATCGATGGTCGGCTTATCGTGGGGTGGACACAGCCAGCGTGACAGAGGCAGCACAAGGCAGCGGACCTGGGGTCGGCAAGGCACAGGCGGCAGTGCAGTGCAGTGCAGTGCAGTGCAGGTGGATGAGTTGTAGCGTGGGTGGTCCGGTGGACAGGTCGGGATGATTACCAGCAGCGGCGGGTGGTGGTGTGGTGTGTTGGTTTGAGGTAATGGTGTGGTCAGAGAATCGGCGGGAGAGGAAGGAGAAGAAACGAGTGAGAGAGATGAGCCGACTCGGTTTGGAGAAGGGAGAAGGGAGTTCAAGGAGGAGACTATCCGGGAATGCGGACAGAGGAGCTGGAGACCGGGGGGGAGCAGGGGTTGCAGGGTGACTGTGGCTTTTGTCACCGTGGTGTTTTTTTCTTTCTGACGGAGACGGAGATGCAGGAAGAAGCGAGGGTTGGGAGGTTTCGAAATTATTTCCTGGGAATGTGGGTTGTGTCCAGGTATGGACGGGTAATGGAGACTCGAGAGCGTGGTGCCAGGTGTGGTGTGTGTGAGGGCGGTGGGTGGTGGGCGGAGGGCGTCTCGCAGGCAGGACTGAGGAGGGAGTTCCTTCGTATTAGTGGTAACAAAGTGGGAGACACCGAGCAGGCGGCGAGATGTCCCTCAAGTACCTAATAGGCTTAAGGCCGCGTTCCCCACCGGGGAGCTGCTAGTATAATCCTTATCGCACCACGGCCACCACGGCTGGAAACAGCAGATGACGAGTTGGCTCAGCTCGGGCCTGGCTGTCTTCCGCAAATAATGCCAGGGTACCAGGGTGCCAGGGTAGCGTGAGATGGGGCAAGGGTCAAGGATCAGGCGCAGCTGCGGGTGCGGGTGCGGGTGCCAGGAAAAGCAGGCCGAAGGGGGCGGTCTCTTAGTACTGCTGCGAGCTACGAGGGCGCAGGGGGCGTGCGATGCGTGGCCCAAGCCGCCCATTCGTTGTCCCACACTTCCCCTTCCAGGGCTAAGGCTTTATTATTTGATCTCCAGCGCACAGGCGTCGTGGCTGGCCGATCCTTCTCCTCGTGTGTGATGTTCTTGTGTTTTACCCGCCGACCTTTTGCGCCCTCCCTGCCTGCTTTCGATGTCCGACCTGCAGCGCCGAGGGCCAGTCGAGGACGAGTGCCAGTGCGAGTGTGAGTGTGACGATGCCAACACGGGATCTCGCTTGGTCAGGAGGCTGATCCGGGGAAGGCCAGGGTGGCAAGCGAGGAAGGACCTCGGCCTGGCCTGCAAGGAAATTTTCTCGGACGGGCGCCCGTAACGGTGACTGGGCCTGGCACCTGGGAAGGCCAGAGCGTGAGTGTACTGTAATTATTGCTCCGCCTGGAGATGATCTGGAACCTCTCGTCCTGCCGTCAGGTAGGTAGTCGAGGAGGATCAAGTATCCGTACAGATAGTGTATTCAATATTCAATAATTCAATGGAAAATTGCCAATCATGACCAGGACAATCACATTAAATGTCGATGTGCTCTGGTTCTGTGCGCAGCCGCCGACTGTCTCTGTAGCCGACATTGGGCTGGTCTCAACGAGAGTCCTAGGTACCTGTACCTTAGCTGGGCCCCCGGTAGGTGCCCGGGTGCCTACCTAGGGACGGGCACGCCGTACGGGTACTGTAACTGTAACCGCCGAGCACGTCGGCCACTGGCACCGCGGTACCTGGTACCTATCCGACCCCTACTCGGTACCTAATTGCCTGGTACGCCTACTCGTACTATGGGGAGAGAACTCAGGACAGGCTGAGAGAGTCGGCGTCACGGGAAAAGATGGGGAAGCCGGCCGTTGTACCACTCGGCAGAGATCTCGGGGCGAGAGTGACCTTCCGAGGCAATCGCGGATTTCTGTCTGGCACTCCATTTCTCAACCGATTTCCACCCACGATAAAAACTCGGAACGTCTCTGGGACACGCTTCCCGGAAGCCTTGGAGCCCTATCACCTCATATCTGGCCAAAGATGCTCAATGCAGTCTTTGTTATTATGCCGCATGGGTACGTCTGGTACGTAAGGCGTGGCAGTCTGTTGATCTGGACAGTTGAAGAGTCCTACACACCTTAGGAGATCCTCCTCGCCGTGTCACCCCGTTCAAAGGAGCGTAGCCTCCACCCTCTCACCCTCGCCCGCGACGCCTCCTAGGATGTGAATAAGTACAAGAGGTGGCATTATTGGTACATGGTATATCCTACAGGCCAGAACAGTCAGATAACAGTGACCAGAGCAGGTCTGCTCGTCAGCACTGCGACCCAAATTTCCCCCCTCCCCAATCACACACTGTGAACAGTGGGCGTGCTCCTCCACAGAAGCGATCAGAATTGCCCCGAATGACATTCCGGCCAGGTCAGCCCTGACAGTACGTACGGAGTACGGAGTAGTAGGATAAGAGCACTCGTCTGGAAGCCCGCCGCCCAACCTTCTAGCCTCGCCACAGCCCCCAAGAGTCAGAGTCGCCGAGACAAGCCTGAGCCCCCTACAGAGTAGTCGCACAGTGCCTAACGAGCCTGAGCCCCCAAGTTTCAGTCTCAGGTGAGGTCCCAGACATTGGTTGTATGACAGAAACGGCCAGAATTATTATTGTGTGGGCGTCTCCGCCTCCATGGATTTATTTAGGCTGTAAAGCATCGGCTTAGGAGCGCCCGTCCCCATACGGAGTACCCAATACGGATACTGTACGTAGGACAGAGTGGTCTTGCGGGTCGGTGGCATGCGGTGATTATCCACTGACGCAGGGGACAAGGCGAAGCTGGACGCTGTGGCTGATAATCTCGGCCTGTCGTCCCCGAGGCGCGGGGGCGACCAGGCACAGATACCACCACGTCGCATCGGGTACGAGCAACTGTAACTGTGCTGCAATGTGATTACGATGATGACAGCAGACACGCCAACTTGATCACACACACAACCGTCTCTCGTCACATCACCGTCACAGCCGCACGTCGGCCCCTCAACAACCCCAAGTCGGCCTGAAAGGAGACAACAAGAGAAGATCGGAAAAGGGAAAACGGAAAAGGCAAAAGGAGGCAATCTTCAGACCGAGCTAAGCCCCAAGCTTGTCGCCCGCTCCGAGATACAGAGTTCTACTATTTGGGGCCTAGGCCGGCGATAACAAACAGCAGATTTCCCCCACATTATGCGTTCACCTTCGAAGTCGTCGTCGATCAACAAATTGCCCGCCGGAGATTCTGCGGAAGAGGGTTTTCCTTGACCCCGGACCGGAAAAGTCAACTTAACTTGAACCGCCGGCTGCTCCAGGCTGCTCGGTCAGTCTTCCCATCCCCTCAGGGGCGCAAGAGAGTCGAACATGAAGGGTTCCTTGCACCGTAGAGCTGACGCAGGAACACAATAATACCTTGCTCTCGAAGACAGCGTGCCGGACGGACATCCAGCACGCAACCATGCAGCCTCCTCGGTACCTTCGTGCATATGCGATTCAGGCATGGCGAGTCAAGGACAAGAATCGGCATCCAGACCACACACCATCCCGAACCAAGTGGTTCTAGCTACTCGGCCGGACTTGGTACCTAGATATCCCGCTGCTGCCAATCTACCAATCTACTAGTCTATCTCTTGCCATTATTGTTGGCGCCTCTCCAGTCTATCCACCATGCACCTGACACTGAGATACAGCCAGGTACGGAAACATCTAGACGTTGTTAGAATATCAATCGTGAGGGAAGCTGGAGGTTCTGGGCCTTGGTGACGCCGGAAGGTCGATAACCATCCACCACCGTCGACTCTATCATGCATCACCAGCTTCACGTCGCTGCCCGGCACTGCGTGGTGGGGAGGATCAACGCGCTCACTCTGATCTGCCTCACGCTGTGACCGAGTCTGAAGTCATCGTGATTACTATTACTCTCTATCACCGATCTCTGGATGGTATTTGTTGGGATCGCCAGTCTACCCATCGGCATTGCGGATGTGTAAAGGAGATCGTCCAACCGGTGTCTACTCTGTAAGCTCCCGCACCATGTCGGCTCAAATACGGCCCTCGCAGAATCGAATTCTGGTGGCCGTTTACGAGATAGCGGCGTGGCCTGACGGTACCGATCAATTCCCCACGAGCGATATCAACCTTTACTCGACTTCAGCCTGAGAGTCCCCCGGAATCCACCTGTGGGGAAGGTCGACTCGAAGGTGTGAGATATGGAGTAGAGGACGGCAGGTGACACTGGGGTCTGGTCAACTCGTTCTTATCACCTGTCTCATCTCAACAGGGTGTTCTCATGAGGGTAAGCTTACCATCTCCAGTGGACTGACCAGGCCTGCGACGGGCGCTCTGGAGTAAATCACGTCACCTTCGGCTTATTTTGGCCCTTTCTGTGACTTCATGTTCAGCGTCGACGTCGAGACCCGGCCGAATTCTGTACGGCGTTGTCCTTGGAGACAAGATATCATATTGTCCGAGAACGGATTCGTGATAGTGATACGGTCGCACGCACAGAGCACAGACGGTGTCGTCAAAGCATTATGTCCTACTAACGGTTTTGGACGTACAGTACGAGCACCTAACGAGCACGGGCTCCAGCTACGGCCGAATATTTGGTCACTGCCGGTGAGACTTATTGTCTACACTGGATGCACGCCGTAAATTCCCGGCTTACACATTCTGGCGGTTAAGGCGGCGCTGGCGCTGTGGTTATCTCCTGGAGTCGACTTATTCCTGCAAGTCCGAGGTCGGACTCACCACCACGCACATGTCAAACTCCCCGATGAGGCTTTTCGGCTGCACCTTTTCCATCGCCGGTCCCACCGTGGTTCCTCACGCCACAACGACTGCCCACTGATTCCGGCCAACCTCTGGCACAAGGAAGGCTCCCCAGAGTGCTGTGACTAATGATAAATGATGCCAGGCATGAAGAAATCAACGAGGCGAGATTCCTGCAGGGCCACTGCGGCTCCAAGAAAAACCGGCGGGAAAACCCCGAGCGCCTTAAAAAAAAATGGAAAAACCCCGCGGGACTTTCCGATACAGCTATTCTATAGCTTTTAACCGGATCTCTCTTAGCTGGCCGCTCCATTCACATGTCACAATTCCATCGCCGGTCTCAACAGTATCCATCGTTTGCTTATCGTAACGATGACAATAATGGAGCCAGAGGAACAAACTGGTCTCTGCCATGTGAAATCATGTGCAACTGATACCACACCCCGGGCTTTTAGACACCGAGCAGGATGGCCCTGAGCAGATTTTTATAGAATTATCGACGTTTTTGACGGCTCTATTTCGGACTGGCCTGGTTTTATGCCCCCACGACGCAGTCCCTTCGACGATGCCGTTGTTTTAGAACCAAGAATCAAGCCTTTCACGCTCGACGCCACGAAAATAATGGTGCAGGGCGGCGTACCTGTGCGGCGGCGACTCCGAGATGGTTGTTACTTCTTAAGGGGAAGGACGCCGCGCGTCTCAACAGTTTTGTCGTGTTCGTTGGGTCAACTCTGGACATTATTCTCTCACCTCTACTTCTGATGAGATGATTCAGCAATATCTGAAGACTGGTGTGATTGAGGGAGAAAAAAAAAACTCCTTGAGCCCTTTTTCCTCACGACTCGTTACGCCCTGATGACCAATCGAACTCCAACCCTAGCTACGAAGTCTCTCTTCCGTGGGATTTTTTCTAACCTGTAAGGGGGTGATCCGTGGGATGTCGCAGGTTTTGCATCAGCAAATATTGAGGTTGACAGTCAAGATCAACACAGGCGAGTTATCTTGGAATAGATTTATTCCCCTCTATGCACATCTCTTCTTTCCAGCAGCCACTCCATGTGTGATTCAGATCCATCATGGTGACCAGTACTCTGTAAGTCGGAGGCCAGGCGCACCCAAGTTGAGAGGCTGAAGGCCAGTTATCGGCTTAAAGCGGCAGTAGAACAGTCTCGTCCTGTCATCAATCTAACCCTGTATATAACGTTATTACCACCGGCCGCTTTATGTTTACGCTGGTGCCTGCGGAGTTGACTACCAAGTACTCGTACAATGCATCCGTACACTGTTACTCAATCACAGCCTCATTCCACGTCCACTCGACCACGGTAGTCGCCATGAATCATCTTTTACTTCCCAGCGGTCCCCAAGCGCTCCATATCGAGATACCATATCTGCTTGGCTCATATCCGCCCCTCGATGAACCATACGACAACGGAGACTTTGTCTCTTACATTGATAGGAGAGTTGGTTGGACCGTGCAAGATGTGTTGAAACCTAGCAGGAGCAGACATTCGCATCGAGATTTAGCGTAGGTCGTTCAATCTTGGCTCTTTTTTGGCCTTCTGCGACAGATCTTGGGCCAGACCACTTCGCTACTTCGCTTCATCACGACGAACGAGAGCAGGCAACCTGTCGTCACAACGGCGCCGTTCTGGGCCTTTGGCCCGCGAAAGCTTAACGGATGACGTTTCAAAAGTTGGCTCGGTCCTTCGTGAACACGTTGAACGCTCCGTTGCTCTTGCAGCTGGGATCATCGGCGAGATCCATGTCGATTTGGAGACGGTCGACCCGAGCCTGGAATTGGTGATGCTCTCAGTCATGACTCTGTGTGATACCATCCAGCTTGTAATCGAGCCGAGGACCTCGAAGCTTCCCAGCCGACAGTGGCCACTCTCAGACATTTTGATCTCGAATCAAATGGCTCTAGATGGGTGGTGTCGAACCGACATCCAACGTTGGACCAGGCTGCTTGATCTTCATAGCCTATATTTTGTGAGCCGTTTGCTACCTAGAGATCCTGGAAATCATAGCGAATGCAAAGAGGCCCGATGTAACGCAAACGACATCGCACCTGGCAAAGACCCTCGCTCACATCACAGCTGTAATGGCTGTGCCGACCGCGAAGCTAAGCAAATCGAAATCTTCGAAGCTCTTGAAAACGGAAATCTGCCCTTGATACACCCCGATCAGGGGCCCGATTCTGGTATTAAGCTGACATGCACTACCGAGGGTAAGGAATATCTCGCCATCTCCCACATCTGGTCCGATGGACTGGGCAACCCTAAAAGGAATGCCGTCTTCGAGTGCCAGCTCCGATGGATTCTGGGTCTCAGCCGCCAGTTCTCGCCCACGGGTCTGCCAGTATGGCTGGACACTATTTCATGTCCTGTCGACATTGAGAACATGAGTCAGCGAATGAAAGACGCCTACGACCTGGCAATTTCGTACATGCGCAGGACCTATGCTGAGGCTAGTGTCGTCCTCGTCCTTGACCACTCCTTGACCAAGGTGGCCAGTCAAGACCTGACTGATCTTGAGATCTTGCTGCGCATTGCCTCCACTGGTTGGACGAGACGCCTTTGGACATACCAGGAAGGGGTTCTTGCAAGAAGGTTGTGCTTCCAGTTCGCTGACCGTGCAGTAGATATTGATGAAGTGTACTTACGGTGGCAGCAGAACCCCTGGGCGATTTACTACCCTGGCGTACGTGGGGTTTATAAAGAACTTCGACTCCTTCAAGATTCCACCGAAGACGACTATACAGCGAAGCTACTGCATCGAGTACACAAGACGCTCCAATTCCGCAAGACGTCTGTGCTTTCCGACGAAGCTTTATGTCTAGCGACTCTAGCAAATCTGAGCCCTGAAAAGGTGCGGACAGTGTCTCAAAGTAGCGACGAGATGCGCATGCAGACGTTCTATTCCTGCTTACCCCAGCTTTCGCGGCAATTGATCTTCTGGAGCGGAGACCATCTCCCGCACACTGGCTTCCGATGGGCACCGTCATCTTTTCTGAATAACAGCAACAGGTTTTTCGCCAAGTGGGCAGATGAGCCGTCAGCCTCGTACGAGCCCGGGCGCGACCAAGCTACCCTTACCTCGTCGGGGCTCAGTTTTGAAGGTCCAGGAATACTCTTGGGCAAAGCGAGAGCCAATTTGCAGTCGTTTCTTGTCACCGTCGACGAGCAGGTCTGGTATCACGTCACCTGCCGTGGGTTTGATGGAGAGCAAAGCCACCCTTTCCGGCTGCAATGTCCCACAGATACTGGTCTCTCCGACATTTCGCTGGCGCTTTTGACACCCGTCCAACTGCATGATGACTTCTCCGTTCCAGGATTTGAAGTGCGGCTTTCGCTCGTAGTGGGCATAGTCGCGAACGAAGACGACATCTACTACGCCCAAACGATCTGTCCTGCATTTGTTTTCCGGAAGCTTCACATTGACGCAGAATTCCCTACGGTCATGCAGACCTATCGACTCTTTAAACGTTGCTTGTCATCCACAGATGTCCATGGGCGCATAGTGCAAGAGACGATTGACCATGAGAACGCCTGGCTATTAGACGATGAGCAACTGATTGCACAATATGAACAGCGAGGTAGCGCGGCTTTGAAGGAACACATCCGCGACTATGAGCCTTGGGAGGATAGAAGTCGTCGGTGGGCTGGAACGTGCATGACAGATGGATTGCTATCTCTCGTCCGCGACGATATGCACAATCTGTTTGAGGGCGTCCCGCTTGCTGACACCCAGAAATGGTGTCTTGACTAACAAAAGCCGGCTTCTGACTCCCATTCCGTCATCCAGATGCCGGAGGCCGGCGGGTTGAGGCAAGGCACTCGGTCTTCCAAGCTAGGAATCTGCTTCTGTCTTGCTTTGCTTTCAGGGATTCGTATTCGACCCACCAGGTGGCATTGGCCCTTTGTGGCATGATTCCCCAAGTGGCGAAGGTTTGCTCTTGCTCTGGACTCATCTCCAGGCGGACGTAAGCACGTCTTCTTGATTCTCGGTCGCCGAGGTCATCAAACCTTCTGATTCTGATATGGGAGCCAACGTAATACTCTTTGCTGACCATCCAGCTCGTCACAATGAAAGTGCTGGTCAACAACAAGCAAACAGTCAGGATCTGAGACGCGAGCGAGCTCATCCCCAGGGTGAGAATGTGGACGCCGAAGCACAACCAGCCCAGGTAACGCCAGAGCCGATATCTTGTGGGATGGGCCACCTTCGGCGTCGTCAGGATCGCCTCTGTCACCAACCCGAGCGGGGCGAACAGAGTTATGGCCTTGCCCTCGGGCGTGACCAGCAAGATCTTTTTCATACTCCAGGCCCATTTCTCGCCGAAGACCTGCATCAGCCCGTCATCCAACGCCGCCCGCAGTGTACTGAGAAGAGCGACGCGAACCAAGACCGAGACGGCCAAAGCACCGACGTTGGCCAGGCCGAACCAGTCCTCGGCGGCGACAGCGAGCGCAGCAGCTCCAGTCATGAACAGAATCGGCAAGGAAATCCCCGCCGCTTTCTGCCAGGCTGGCATTGTCCAAGGATTGTCAATAGTGTCAATGAAGAAGCATGTCGAATTCCAGGAGAGCGACTTTTGGTATTTTAGCCATCGGCCGAACCAGCCAGCAATATCGGTGGCGTAGATGTGATCGTCAAGATTGTATAAATGGAAGCCAGTGATGGGTTCCAAGATGGAATCTCCCGCGAGCTCTTGCTGTGCCAACAAAGGCAGATACTCTGCTAAGCCGTGGGTGACCAAGGTCCCGAGTGCTCGGTTGACCTGTGGTGCTCCGATGATGGTGATCAGGCCAAGAGCATCGATGCGGAATGGAGCCCATGACTTGAGATGATGCTGCGGCCACATTCTGCGTCCAAGTGTAATCGAGGGTTCTGGGCTTAGAAGGCTTCCGAGAGAAGAGCGTTAACGACTTGGGCCTCGGGGTAGTCGGGGCGTGGTCGTCGTCCCTGATGTTATATCATGAAACCCGATTTGTACCAGGCTGACTCGATGGTGCCAGCAGGTGCTCTGCTAACAAGGCAGTGTAAGCATGGGCGCCTACTCGCTCTTTTTCATTCGTCGGCCTGCCGGTCGTTGGTTGGTCGTCCTTCACGCTCTGCAGGCAGCCATTGTATTGTATTGTACGGAGTATGTACAGAGTATATGTACGAGTACCCAAGCGCCCCTCGCATCTTCACCCAAGTGGTGCCTCGCCTGGTGTCTGGTGTCTGGTCCGCAGACCGCCTATTTATGTGTGTGTGATCCGAGCCTAAGGACGATGCCGGCCTACAGCGTCCAAGCGACTCCAACGCCCCCCCTGACTACCTTATCCAATACATACTACCACCAGCGAAGGCGATCTGCAAGGCGGCCAAAAGGTCAGGTGGCATCGAACGAACCATCTCATCATCGAACATCCAACATGCCTATGCTCGACTCCACCGGACTTTTGGGGGCCTAGTAAAAGTACGGGAACGAGCCTACAGTACGGAGTACTTTGCTTCATTCAGCCTTGCCCGGACTGCTTCGAGATGGTCTGCATGTCATGTCCAAAGCAATTCTGTAACAGTAGTATCGTCCTCCCCACCCATGGAGTTGACCTCAGGTGCTCATTCATAATTGCTGGTCTCTTTAGATGCTGGTCTCTTTAGTTGTTGGCCTCTTTATTTGTTGGCCTCTTTAGTTCCTGGTCTCTTTAGTTGCTGGCCTCTTTTTTTTAGATGCTGGTTGGTGCATCGCGTGTATCTTAACTGTGAGACAGTCTCATCCTCATCCTCATCCTCAACTTGATGCCCTTTTCCTGCCTGCCACGTTCTCTTTCCCCGCCAGGGTTTCAGCCGGCGTTTCATCCATGGGAATGGAAGAACCATCGAGGAGGGTAAATCTTGTATGTGGTGCTTCGGCTTCGGCTCCAAGTCTTTGTAATCGCATCGCGGGTAAATCTCCTCCAGGGCCCTTGAAGACTTTCTTCTGCCATACGTTCCAGGCAATCAGGATGTACAAGCAGAGCGCGACAATGACAACACTAGTAGTTCAGTTCCTTGTTAGTCTCATGGACGGACCGGACCAGCTGTCGATGCACAAAGACCACGACCATGTGGAGGGAGGAGGATCATATCATACCTAATCCACGACATATTGTTCTTGGTCACAGGCATGGCTGTAGGGAAGCAGAAAAGAACATCAATGCCTGCCACCCAGATGCAGGATATCATGTTGACAGGCAGTCCCCAAGCTCCCAGCCCGAACGGCCGTTCCGGAAGGATGGCGTCCCGTCCTCTCCAAGCTAGAATGCCTTGTGGAATGACATACGATGTGGTCATGAAGACAATGCTTGCTCCCACCATCGAGGCAAAAACCGTCGAGGAGCCGAGGAAGATCAGGCCATACAACTGCAGCTCGGCGTCGCCGTCGCCGTCAGAATCTGCTTCAACTTCAAACTTTTAGGTAGGGAGGATCGGCGGCTCTCGATGATAGATAGATATATCGCCAAACGCCAAATCAAACAACTTACGCATGTCAGGGTGCCAGTCACGCACACCACGTTAAGTGGCATCTGCCTTCTGGGATGAAGCTGGCTCCAATATTTCGAGAATGGAAAGCAATTGTCTCGGGAGGCTGCCCACATCTGGCGGCTCGAGCTGGTGATGTTGGCACAAGCCGCTCCAAACATACAGATTGCGAAGGCGCTCATGAGAGCAACCGTGGCCGCTTTACTTCCAGTCGCCTGGAGATATAGTTCCATCAAAGGAAGGCCTGTGTCGGTGTTCAAAACGGCGTCCAGGTCGGTCATGACGTACATGCAAGCGATGGAGAATGGAAATGCTGGGGGCTTAGAGTTAGCTTGCATTCGAAAAGTGGCTGTTCGGAGTTCGGAAACGTGTCTTACTACAAAAGAATCCGATAATCACGGGGTAGATCTGATGAGTGATAAGCCATTTGCATTTGTCAATCAAATAGATGGGAGATGGGCACAGGGCTCGTACAATCACCTTGGGCACGTTGACGGTAGGATTGGGAATCTCTTCACACATATGTGCTCCGGCATCTACGCCTAAGAAATCCGTAGAGAGCATTCAAGACGGAGAGGACAAAGGCGAAGCCATCGCTCTTCCAACCAGTGGCATTCGAGGTGGTTGCAAAAACCCAACTTGTCGACCGGTAGTTCGGTGCCGCGCATGCGAGGAGAGTGACAAAGGTGACGATCAGGGCGGCAAAGGAAAAATACACTGAGTGGTGGATTAGTAGCAGGGACGAGTCGCATAATATCAGGGACACGGACACTCACTCATAAAGTGGTTGAAAGCAGGAAGGATTCGAGATCCAAATATGACCAGCGCGCATGCGGTCCAGATGACCGCCACGTAACAGAGCCATATGTGCCAATCTTTCAGAACGTAGTTCTCGTTGTAGAGCTTGGCCATCCCAAGGATCATGGCTGCAATGAATTGACAAATGCTTCCAAGGCCTAGCCACCAGCCTAGTGTGCTCACTGACGCCGAGCTGGGCGGTGTCAGTCAATGTCGAAGGCGCAGACGCAGGCGCACGTCCAAAGGCATAGAGATAGACGAGCTTACAAATATGAGGCAAACGGAGCCCAGTCGGGGGAGGATACCATGAGATACCATGAAAGACCAGTAGTACTGGGCCCCGGCAACAGGATACGCGGACGAGAGCTCCGCCATTCCCGTCGCGACAATTCCCGTCATCACAGCTGCAATGATAAAGGTATAAAGGGTCCCAGAGGGTCCAGATTCCGTGAGGCCTATTCCTATAGCACTGTTTCGGCCTCAAGGTCAGCCCAGGCCTGAACACTGACCATGGGTTCGGTTTCTTGTAGAACGAACCTTCCAAACCCATTCCAGGGTGCCAGCAGTGCATAGGATAGGCCATGAGTGATAGCAAAGAGAACTGCCGGGGCATGCCACGCTCATATCCGTGAGCTTGAAGCTCAACATCGTCGATAGTGATTTCTTTGGAGGAAGCCATGGCGTCTTTTGCAGAGAGATGGAAAGGGAAATGCAAATGCAGACACAATCCGTAGGTACGGCGACCACTGTGTGGGATTGGTGAGGCCGCTACGGGATTAATATATGGTATGATCTCAATGGGGACCACGTAGATATATCTATCGTCTGTCCATCATCGTGACGAGGCTGGCAGGCTCTCGCTCTCGCTGAGGTGGCCAGAGGAGGAAGGAGAGTAGAAAATGGGTCACGGTAATCAGAAAAAGGAAAGAGGGTTTGAAACCGGCAATCCTTTTCATCTTCATCTCTTCCGCTTGGGCTGTCCGAACGTGTTATCAGTGCCGGTACGCCCGGCTGGCAACCAGAGTCCTGAAGTCACGAGCTGGGCTTAGACTGATAGGTGTCTGTAGTTCGCCAGTCGAGAAATTAAGGTCAAAAAGATCCATGTTCATGGTCTCACATGCTGCGGGTACTATATACGCCATTTCTTTTGTAAGAACCCTTGTAGTACGTTCTTGGTCAGTGTGGCAACGTTATTGTTGTAGCCATCCCACGCCAGTGAGCAGTACCAATTGATGCTCCCTACGGAGAAGACGCCCCCGCCAGCGGCAGTCTCATAGTACACCATGTCAGACCGGATCTCGGCGGTTTGAGTCCCAAGGGTGTGCAAAATGGGAAACCCCACGTCCTCAGGAAAGATGCCAAAGTCCTCTGGGTGGCCTACACTGGTGGCCAGGACGACGGCGTTGACGGGACTCCCGTTGCCGACATCGAACTTGTCTATTTCGTCGCCGCTGGCACCGCCGCCGAAGCCATGCTCCCCTAAGAGCTCTTCTTGCCCGATTCCTTCAAACATCCAAGCGAACCGTGGATCTTGACTTGCCCCGGTCCGCCTGTAAGCCACGCCTGGCCCGGTGCCCTCGCCACAGCATCCCACACCAAAGAGATGATTTGCTGGCCGGCCCCGAGACCGCCATAATGTTCCCAGCTGCCCGTTCGTGCTGAGAATTCGCTCTCCACCAGGCACGGTATATGTGCGCACACCCTGGTCACCGCGACGCACCTCTAGTCGATGAGGGCGCGCCGAATCCAAGGCGGAAACCCAGTAAAACCCGTTTCCTCCTAGGTACATGAGATTTCCCCCGCGCCTGGCGAACGCGGTATATGCGCCCAAGGATTCGAGGCTCGGGTATTCGGGGTGGTTGCCGGTGATGACAGTGCTGTATGGAAGAATGCATGAAACACCCATGCTGTGGAGATCATGGTCGGTAACAATGTCATATGGTATATGGTGATGTTCCAGGAAGCCAACCATGAGCAAATCGGCGCTGAACTCGCGCGGCCGATAGAGCGCCCAATGCATATAGCCGGGCCTGACAGCAAGTAAAGGCCGCTTGGCTGAGGAATACATAACTCCTGATCCATCCAAGTGCACGTCGTAAGTGGACAGGCCCAGGTCGGTGCGTCGCTCCATTTTGTAGAAGTCCTCGTCCTTTCGAATGCGAAAATCCGCGTTGGGCGCTGTCATCCGCGATGGTTTGGACTGGTCATACATGCGCTCGTTGCCGTAGGCAAGATACGTAAAGGTTGAGAGGACCAACGCGACCTTTGCTCCGACCTTTGCCCGCGTCTCGGCCGACGACCTCACGAAAAAGGTGATAGAGTCGTGGGCGCGGCCATTGGTAGCTTCGACTTCCACAGCATATGCTCCCGAACGGACGTCAGGCGGAATGCGAATCGAGATATCAGTGGCCCAACCGGCGTCATCCAGGTCGTCTTCGTGGAAGTGGATGGCACCATATCCATGAGATGCTTTGGCCCAATCGACCGATGTGCCATCCCAGTCATATCCTTGAACTGCCCGTGTAGGAGCGTTGATCAGGGTTCCATGAAACCCTCGCCCGGACACGTCGACAATGGTGTCGGAAGATATCTGGAGCGAGAAATCATACCGGGCGAGTATTTGGGCTCCAGGCCCCAAACTTCGGATCATGGGGCTGTCGATCCGGCCGTTAAAGAAATTGGTCGCTTGTGTGGCTGCCGGTGGTGCGGTCGGTGTCGAGGCGTAGCCAGCGCCAAAGAGAAGAGACGTGCGTTCCAGATGTGCGACTGGGTTGCGGAGCTTCCCTTGCCCATGGATAGCTGGGTCGGGCTTTTCTGCAAACAGTCCTACCGGAGCCAAAGAATAGTGCAGAGATCCCTCCGCGTCCAGTGACAGGTCAAGTGAAACCCAGCGCCGAGTTGCCGGCATAAACTGTGTCGGAATCACCTCGATAGCTTGGCCTGTGCTAATCCAGAAGGAAACATGCCCTTCCAGCGTCAAAACCACCGCCAGGCCAGTCTTGGAGACGTGGTCCAAGGTGGAAAGGAGAGTTTGCGTATGCCCGGACTGGGGAAGATAGGGCTGGAAGTAGAGTGAGATATGCAATCCATGGTGTAGGTTGGTCTGATCGAAGTCCTTCACGAGGGCGTACGACCCCATCTGTGCCACTTGGAATCTCCCTGGCCGAACTCCTCCAGGTACGGACGCGACCACTTCCGACTGCCGTTGTGGTGCATGGGGGCCATCAAGGCCTTGAACGAGGCGTACAACTTGGTATTTGTACTCGGGCTCCGTCGAAGAAACCTGAAGTGCTATTTAGTTCAACGTTGTTCCGTCGGAGAGGAGAGCCGACTTCAACCCACTTTCACGTCTACAGTATCCCCCGGACTGCATATCCATGGTTGTACGTACCCAGTAATCTCCGGAGGGTAATCCGGATGAGGGAACGATGGCCCGGTCATGTTTCTGGGGGAGTCCTGCAAGGCTTTCTTGCATTGTGAAGATCGCTCCTAGTAGCCGCGAAAAGAGCATATACTAGAATTTGTATGGCCCTGGTCTCCCCATTTCAGCTAGTCCATCTAGGAAGTCGAGTTGTCAAGCACCGAATCAGGAAAAGAAGCCATTCAGCGATAAGAAGGAAATCCACAAAGAACGGTTACAGCATCTCGAAAGATAACGCTAGGACCCTTGTAGAAAGAGTCCGTGTATGGACTAGATTCATCCTTTGCACTACAGTTAAACCAGTCTAAACGCGAAATCGAACTCAAAGGACGACAAGAAGCTCGAGAGAGACTGCAAGTATAACATGACGAGCGAGAGCAGAAGCAGCAGCATGATTGTCTGTAAGTTCTTTTTGCCTTCTCAATCACCATTACCATCACCATCACCATCATCGCCATGACCACTTCGTCTATCCTGAGAGGGAAATTCCGTCTCAACCGACCATTTACCCAAAATTTCCTCGTGGGATGGTGCGTTCCAGTCCAACTTGCTCAACTCATACTAACAGGCAAGAATATAGTACCTTGTTTTGTCTTCCAGGCATCTACCTCGCCGTCACTGGCCTCGGCGCAGGTGGTGGTCGACCCTCGTCGCAACAGGTCGCTTCAGAAGCCAACGCGTATGCCTTTCCTTCCATCATTGCTTGTGGTCAATGCAGAAGAGCGGGGCTGACTTGGACATGGAAGTATTCTTTATGGCCTGTTCACTCTCTTTGGGTGGATGGGCGGCTCTATCCTCAACACGATCAAGCCGAAGATGACCATGTACGTTGGCCTACATGAGCACGACCGCTGCCATTTCTTTCCCGCTGCTGACAACGTCTTCCAGAGTGATCGGAGCAATCGGCTACCCTTTGTACACCGGAGGACTCTGTGAGTACCAACGTGCTGCACAAACTAAATGAAAAGACCGAACCAGCAGGCTGACCAGTCCACTCCAAGGGTATTATGACCGTACTGGTGCTGAATGGTTCCCTTTGTGGGGTGAGTCTCACCTTTGGTGTTGCCCGAGGATCCCACTAATCCTTTGCTACTTGACTAGCTGGTGCCATGCTTGGGATCAGTGCCGGGTTTCTGTGGACTGGAGCTGGATTCATCCAGTTTGCCTACGCTGATGAAGACAGCAAAGCAATGTATATCACCGTACAATGGGTCCTGACATCCCTCGGTGGCACGGTTGGAGCTTTCATCTCCTTTGGGGCCAATTTCCACCAGACCGAAGCCACTGGCGTTTCGAATGCGGTCTACGCTGTCTTCATTGTCATCATGTGTCTAGCAATGGTGGTGGCGGCATTTGGCTTGAAAGACCCCGAAGACATTGTGCGGGACGATGGCACTCACCTGGCCGTCTTTCATCCCACCGATTTCTGGACCGAAGTCAAAGGAGTCGGCGCCTGCTTCACGGAACTGAGAATCCTTATTATCCTTCCGGGCATCTTCTGTGCCGAGATTGTTCTTGTTCTGATGAGCAGCATCAATGGTAAGACCCCCTCTCCTTTCCCCAAGCTGAAGTGAAGTGGCCTCTCATCTTCCTGACCAGGCTACTATTTTGACCTGCGGACTCGATCTCTTGCCAACATCATCTTTGAGATGATCATGATCCCCGCCCCCCTGGCACTAGCCTGGGCCATGGACAACAAATATATGACGAGGCGCAGGACTCGAGGCATGCTTGGAGTGGCCATCATGGCTGTCATCACCTTGGCCACCTACGCCGGCGTCATTGGCTGGCTGGTCCGCAACGACGTTGACCGGAGTCAACCTCCTCCAGCTGTCGATTGGAGCATGTCCAGCTTCGCGTCTGGATTTGTCTTGTATATCCTTAGCGGCATAATATACTCGGGCTTTCAAATCTGCGGGCAGTGGACGCTGTCCGCCTTGTCCAATGACCCATACAAGTGCGCCCGCTACGCTGGCCTCTTCAAGGGCACAACCAGCCTAGGTCTGATGGCTGCATTTTTGATGGATTCCAAGAATGTCTCTTATCTAGACCAGGCTATCGTTCACCTGGTCCTCTACGCTGTCGGGGTGATCTCGCTGGTGAGTGTGACCTGGTTTTGTGTCCGGGACACCAATTATTTTCTCGAACCCGACGTGATTGCACCGCAACATATCACAGAAGAGGCGTGCGTGCATGGCGTCATAACCCAAGACGAAGTGAGCGAGGAGAAGAACAAGCAGAGGGTTAGGGATGGGAAAAGGCCAGATTCCGGGGAGCAAGGGCTGCAGCCAGTGGTTGCTGAAATCGGTACAGACAAGGCGGCCTAAAATCACCGGATTTGCTGTGTTAAAGCCGAGATAGGAGGGAATCGGGTTGGAAGATCGGTGATGAGTCGATTCCGTGGTGAATGCCAGATTTGAATCTGAATCTGGCCTCGGAGAATGAAGAGATGGCCGCTTGTTTCACGGGTCCTCAGTTAGATACTGGATGGACAGCAGAGGAGGCATCGCAATTGGCGTGCGTGAGGTTGGAGTTATCCTAGATTGGTAGAGCGGTAGAGCAGTAGAGCAATGGATTGATATCTTCTCGGGGGGACCGGAGAAGAGCCCCCTAGGCGTTCCAAACACCTCAAAATCTTTCTTGATCAAGTCGAACGTCAGGCATCTACGCTTAGGACCTGCAGACGAGGGATGTCGGAACCGCTCTCATGTCGGGTACGGCAGGAATACAGGACAGGACTCCGTATACTCCGTCCGTATAGATCACGCTTGTCTCGATACAGAAAGAGAGCGAATTAGGCAAGTCTGAGCCAGGGGGCGATAAGTGATAAGAGATAAGAGATAAGAGATAAGCCGACTATCGTCGGTCAATATTGCGGAGTACATTGTCAGAAGAGCAACCAGATGGCCCCAAGACACAAGACACAAGACGCGGCCTTTTGACCTCTACATGCTCCTCAGCTGGCCACAAGGCTCAAGGCTCCCCGGCCAGAGTCCAGAGTCCAGAGTCCAGAGTCCAGAGTCCAGAGTCCAGAGTCCAGAGTCCAGAGTCCAAAGCCCAGAGCCCAAGCTATCTGTTATCCCTCGAGCTTCCAGCCACCGAAGACCAGTGCCCCCATTGCCCCCAGTACCCCCTGCACCCCCATTAGAGGCTTCCTTAGGCTCAGGCCCATCTCGTCGCCAGAATGACTTTATCCTCGTCCCAACCTCAGCCTCGAACCAATTCGCTGGCCTTTGCGAAAACAGACTGCCACACGTGCGCTGCACATCATCGCAAATGTGACCGGAGGAGGCCGCAATGCTCGCCTTGTCTCGACAATGACATCCTGTGCGGCGGCTTCCCCATGCAGTTGTCATGGTCCGGACGCAAGCCAGCGGCCCGAAGAGCAAGAAAGATCTTGGACGAAGCAGATGACCCTTTCTACCTCGAGCCTTTATCGCTCAAGATGGCTTCGCAGTTCAGAGATCGAGAAAAACGGCATTGTTCTAAACCACGAGCACCTCAACAGTTCAAGTTTGTCGCCAACGAACCCTCAATCCGCAAACGGCCTTTCCGCCAATCCGGCAAAGCATCGAGCCACCCGCAACCTTCTCCGAGCAAGGAGCCGCAGGATCCGGAGGATCTACCGCAAGGGAGCAGAGCAGAAACTGGACTTTTCGATCATTCTACGCCTCGGGTTCAGGCACCCGGCACTCCTGATAAGCGGGGAGAAGGTCGCTTGCTCCTTGATTCACCCGACATGAACTTTCTGGTCGACCTTGAAGTGGACAATTTTGGTCCATGGAGTTGGTCTCCTACACCCTACCAGGGCCCGAAAGAGCTTTTGGGCGCAGAAAGCGACGTAGACATGGATTTGTCGACTGGCGCGGAACTGGGGTCCGGCTGTGATGATTCTTACCTGTCAGATTCTTACAACATGCTACATTCACGTGCCGGCACGGGCGAGGACGGCACGTCGGAGCTGTCCTGGCCGCAGGACCCCGCCAGATTGCCGTGTCTTCCTACTCCTCCTTCGACAGATTCTCCGTTAGATCTGGTCCCGCTAGACGGCATTATGCTGTACGAGGGCTTATTCGAAAAATTCGGAGGCTTGCTCGATATGTGTAGGTCTCTCAAATACCCGATACAACTGCTCTGCATCACTGAGCCCGTGTGACAGACGATCGAGAGTTTTGCGTCCTGCCTCTGAGCAGAGATATTCAGAGTAACCCTTTTAGGTGCCGATCGCAAACCTCCCAAGGCTCTCAGTTTCTCCTACACGCAATCCTCGCACTATCTTGCTACCATACCACCAGGCAACCTACTATCGAAGGAACCCGACCATCTGCGGATGTGGTGGATCATCAAAACACAGCCATTCAACTATATCGCAAGGAGCTTGAGAATTATCACGGAGCGCAAGGTGTGCGACTTCTAGACACCACATTGGTTCTTTTCACATTGAACGTGCGTGTTCCTACCATTGTCGCCATACATTCTATCAAACATGGCTGAGTGCTAATTCTGGTGGACGAACAGGCGACCCAGTCTGCCTTCGGAGACTGGATTTCGTACATCTCTGATGCCCAGAAGCTTCTCAGCATCGCTGGAGGGATAAGGGTATGGGAAAATAATCCGAGAGCCCAGGCTCAAGTGGTCATGCTTCTCTGGTACGTCGTGAACAGAAACCTCGTGTTATTGCCTGTATCGGACTTTTGAATAATCAAATTTGTCGCAGGTGGGATGCGACTATTGGCCTACTTTCGCGGGAAGGGTGTATGCTCCCATACTCCTATCTGGAAGCACTTTTACCTTTGGAAAATCACCGGTCATGGAGTTTCTTCGACGTGACCGGCTGCCCAAGACAACTTGTGGTTCCTCTGATACAGCTAGCCAGTCTGGCAGAAGAGAAGGAAAAAGCGGCATCAATGCGATGGACCAGGTTTGACTTGACTCTGGTCGACGAGATCCAGCAATCCATCATCAACTGGAAAAACCCGGGCCTTGAATTCCGAATCGAAGACGACAGCATGTCTGAAGAACAACTGCAGCGCCAACGGGACATATACCACTGTTCCGAGGCCTGGAGGTACGGGCTATTGATCTATATCACCCGAGTATTCTACTGGAACCGGCACGACACGCCACCTCGAAAACTTGCTTACTACGCAAGACTCACCATTGAGCACGTAAACTCATGTCGGAACACGGCGCCAATCCAGAGGCAGGTCCTACTCGCGCTCTTTTTTGCTGGTTGCGAAACGAGAGATGCTTGTTTACGGCAGAGCATCCGAGACTATTGCCTTTACTGGAGCACACATTCAGGGTATCAGCTGTTTGCCACTGCATCCACACTACTTGAAGAATTATGGACAGAAGGGGATGAGTCGGGTGACAAAGGTGTTTGGTGGGGCTCTGTCATTGATGCGAAACAAAAGTCACAACAACAGAGAACGCAGCCGATGCGGTTTTGCTTTGGTTGATGCGAACCAATCAATAGAAGATCGATTTGTTCATGGCCCCTATCTTGCCAGCGTACTGATAATCAGCATCAAGATCCTGCTGCGGACCATCAGTCAGGGTTGCACAACTTCAAATCTTGACATCAAGACCCATCCTCATATCACCGCCCAAACCAACATCTCGAAGTCTCCTGCTGCTAGTGATTGTACCCCAATTGCAGCCCAAGCAGGCCGATGGGAACCCAGAAAGCTTTTGGCAATCTCGTTCATAGTACCCGTGATTTCCTCGCCTACGCCGCCGACATGGTACGTAGTGATCTGATACACAGAATTCCAAACATCCGTAGATGTTAAACTCGGATCAACAGCGTGGATGGATTTCTCAACATTCTAAACAAGTTTCACATGTTTGGGTTAGCAAATAGTTCGTTCCATTCCATCACTTCATAGAAAGCCTAAGCACTACTAGGTACCTTGAAGGCAAGCCTCATCTGTTCTCGCAAGGACTTCGCAATATGACCATCTTCATGCATTCCCACATGTCCAGAAGTTGCAATCAACCGTCTATCGGCTAAAGGAATGCTCACGGCAGCAGAAAGACCGAATTTCTCTGCAATCTCTTCGTAGCCTTTGTAGTTGAAGCCCTCAACCTTTGGCGAATTCATACCTGTCAAGTTGACGAAGATGTAGCGTAGTAGAGAAGACTCGAACCAGTAATGAAACACCGGCCGTGAATGATGAAGAATTGTTTGTTCCAACTTCTCTGATCTACCTAGGTAGGCACCTGAGTACCTAGCTCACTTCAAATATTACACGGCGATAAAACCATTGACGTTACAATAAGGTCCAGATTTTCGGACACAATTCTAATGAGTCCAACCCTTTCTCGAAGTGCAGTAGTCGTCTAGAATAGGAAGTTGAGCTGAGAATGGAAAGAGGTCGATTAGGGAGTCTGACCGAACTGGCATGTTACCGTTACCGTTACTGTCAGCAGGCCCGATGGGTAGTAATCCAAGATAGGCAACAGAGAACCAGAATAGAAGATGTGCAAATCCTCAAGAGAGCATCATTTCAAAGCTAGACCTCGCACTCTTGGGGATAATGCTACATCTTTGACACTTGACCAAAAAAAAGGCATTAGTTTGTTCTTCTTGTCTGTGTTTTGAAAGAAAAAAGAGTTGTTCATCACCTTTCTCCCATGGCACCTGCAACTCTCATCGATGAAGCAAATACAAGCCCGATTGACGGCCCTGGATTCAGTGGCATCTCTAAGCCGATCAAGTCATCCAGATCACCACTGCCAGAGGTCAAGGAGCTAGAAAGTTCCTCGGCGACGGTGGAAGATGTTGTCAATGCGCTCAAGATCGCCGGTGGAGTCATCATTCGCAATTTTCTGTGTCTGCAAGATATCGATCGCATTTTGAAGGATGTCAATCCATATTTGGAGGCAGACCAGCCATGGAATGGTAATGAATAGCAGCCCAGAACCCTTTATTACCCCCCATATTGTTTCTTCCTTTCTGACACCAGCTTGAACAGGAGACTTCTTTCCTCCAGAGACTCGACGGGCCTTTGGCTTGATGGGCAAGTCACCCACTTTTGCCACGTCGATAGTTGGAAATCCTCTCTGGATGGGCGTCACCGATGCCTTGCTCACCAGCCATAGCAAGTACAACTGGGTTAGCTTTCCTGGTATGTATACTTATAGTGCGGAAAGATGCTTACATGCAAGGTTTCCAGGTTGGCGACAAGAACGAAGAGAGCATCAGTGTTCCTCAACTTCATAACACCATCGTCTTCCGCATTGGACCTGGCGCAGCAGCCCAGCCTCTTCATCGCGACGATCCACCTCACTATCCTGATCACTGCGCCGTTGCTGAGCACACCCTTGGCCGAGACAGCGGCATTGGGTTATTTGTAGCTGCGACGCGAACCACCAAGGCGAACGGTAGGATAAGCTTATGGCTATCATATATTTCTTTTTGATAACTAATATCTATGTATCCGTCGAATTGGGCACAGCACTAACATACCGACGCCACAGGTGCCACCCGCTTCATTCCAGGATCTCATCTATGGGACTACCGAGAAGGACCTCCGAAAGAAGAGCAAACCGTTCATGCAGAGCTCAATCCTGGTGACGCCTTCATCATGCTCTCGGGATGCTTCCATGGAGGATCGGCAAACACGACCGAGGATGAGGACCGCGTCCTCTTATCCACCTTTAACACAAGAGGCTACTTGAGGCAGGAGGAAAATCAATACTTGGCCAACAGTATTGACTCGATCAAGGAACTTCCTCCCGCCCTCCAAGAGCGCATGGGATACGGGCTGAGTCGCCCCTTCATGGGCTGGGTAGATCTGAAAAGCCCAATGTTATTACTCCACCCAGGGGAGTCCAAACACCAGAAGGATCTCTGGGGGTCATAAATGCTCGTGCCAAGGCGGTCAGCGTTATGACAAGTTTCATGGTGTCTGATGTTCACCTGCGTGGCCAATAGGTATTGAGGCTTTGAAAAATATATATATAACGTGCATGATAAGCGAGTGAAACAGACAAGCGAGTGAAACACCTCAACCCGACCACCTCGACATTTTTGACCTACACGCAACCACAACGCATAGAAATGTTTGTAACTACTTAAATTCCTCTTCTTCAGACGAAGTAATCACTACTTGACAGGTTCTAGAGTTGTGTCCGACGTTGCCGCAGACACCACACCGTCGCGCGCGCGT